GAGCCTCCATCTTCCCCCTTATCTTAATCTTAAATCTCGCTTAAAAAGAAACCATCTGTTTAGCCTTAGTCACCTCCCTTTTCCCATTTGATTGTATGTGTCTGTCATGATAAAAGCGCTCCGTGCCCCCCTTCCCCTCCTGCCGCTGACCACCCAACTTCCCGGCGTTTACACACTGCTATCAACGTCTTACTCTCATCTTCACAAGCTCCGTACTGTTCAAAACTCTGCAGCTCGTGTGCTCTCACGCCCCAGGCTCCGTGACCCCATCACTCCCACCCTCGCCCGACGCCACTGGCTCCCCATCCCCCAGAGGATTGAGTTCAAGATCCTCGTCCTCACTTTCAAGGCCATCCATGGCCTTGCCCCCTCCTACCTCTCTGACCTGCTGACTCCCTACCAACCTGCCCGCTCCCTCCGCTCAGCGCACTCCTGACTGCTCCATGTCTCGCACCCGACCCGCCCGAGCTTTCGGCCTCTCTGCCCCCACACTCTGGAACTCATCCCACGGTCCCATCGCCTCGCTTCTTCCCTCGCCTTCCTCAAGACCCTCCTCTTCGATCGTGCCTTCAGTTGCTCTCCCACCTCTCTGCCTTCCCTCACCCCTCCCCCACCCCTCCCCTAAACTCAGGTCCTGACCCCTGACTGTCCAGCGCCTTGAGACGTCCTCCCGACGTGAAATGCACTCTATAAATGTCAGATGAGATGTCCAGTCTGCCTGTTCAGGTGGATGTTAAAGATCCCATGGTACTATTCAGAAAAAGAACAGTTTCTCCTAATAAAATCTTGTGAAGCATTCTGAGACATCTCGATGATGTGAAAAGATATCAAATGCAAGGATTAATATGTAGTGACTGTATTTTGCAGGTGGAAGCTAGAGCCAACTTGTAAACAGCAATGTCTCACCGTGATGTTATCAACCCCTCAAAAAATCTACCCTCAATGACTCCAAAGACTCGTCTCCAACCTGTTTTTCCAAAGTCTTGGAACTTCACTCCCACCTTTCACTCTACAATTGCTCCGTGCCTGACAATGTAATGTATGTAATTTAATGATTGCAGATTTAATGTGCTTGGGTTTTTTTTCAGTTTCTTTGCCGTCTTTCGCAGCGGACTTTCAGTACTGCATCTCGCAGACGCCTTCAGAATAAGGTTCCTGAGAATCAAAAGATATTCCAGGTAATTGCCTACTTAAATATGTTCATACAAGGATGCACCATACTTAATTTATTTATTCTCCGGAGAGCAAGTGGGGAGCATTATCCAAGTGCATAGATTTTTATGGTCTACGGGAGCCACCTAATCCCATTCCATTCTTTTGATTTCTCTCCATAGTCCTTTAATTCCTTAATCTAATTCCCTGTTACATTGGGGAGATGTTTCAAATGGTTCACAGGATTTACTGTAAAGTTTATTGATTATGTATTTTGTAGGTCAAATTGGAACTAATTTGCATCAATAATGTCCCATAAACCACCATGCACTGAATGACCAACTTTATCTGGTAGATTGCTGGCCAGGACACTGGGAGAAACTCCCTTCTCTTTTCTAACAGTAATGTGGGATCTTTAACATGCAACTGAATAGGAGACAGGACCTCAGGCTAATCCAAACAACAGCAACTCCAACAATGCAGTCTCAAACAATACTTGTTACAGTTTGCTCCCAACTCGTTGTCAACAACTTGAGATAACGTCGAGGAATGCTTCATTTTAGTGAATGCTGAACTCGGAGAGGTATTGTTAGGTAAAGAGGTAGGTTTTAAGGTGGGATTTGAAAATGGATGGGGAGTGAGCTGGAGGGATAGAGGCAAAGAGCTCTAAGTGTTAGAGGCACAGTGACTGTTAGCTGAGCGGAAGAGATGGGCAGAGGAGTGGGGTTCTAGCAGATCAAAGTGCTAGAGCATGAAGTGATTTATATGTGAGGACCTCAAAACTGATCTGTTAAGAAACAACAACTTGCATTTTATAGCGCCCTTGCGCAGGTTAGCGTCCCAGAGTGCTTGACAGTGATGGAGCACGACGCCGAGTTGTTGGGTGAGGTAGGTGACCATAGACACAGTCAAATGGGAAGGTCTTCATGCGCAACCTGAAGATGGGGAAGGAAATGGCAAGGCCAAAGGATAGAGAATGAGTGTTCCAGAGTTTCCGGGAGTAGTGGCTGAAAGCACGGCCACCAATTCGGGAATGGAGCACACGAGGGACAAGCAGAATGCTGGAGTCAGTCGAGCGGAGACAGCAAATTGTGGGTAAGCAAGTCGGAAAGGTAGGGAAGTGCCAGAGCATGAAGGGTTTTGAAAACGAGTGTGAGGATCTTGAAATCGATCCTTTTGGTGATAGTGAGCCAGTGGAGCCTGGCGAGAACTGGTGTGATGGAGGGAGGCCAAGGGATTTTGGATTAGTTGGGCCTTGGGGATGGTGATACTGGGGAGTTCAGAAAGGAGTGCATTTGAGAAATTGAGACGGAAGGTAAGAAAAGTTTGGATGAGGGTTTCAACAGCAGAACAACAACAACAACAAGCTTGCATTTATAGAGCGCCTTTCATGTCGGGAGGACGTCCCAAGGCGCTGGACAGTTGGGTTGGGACCCAAGCAGGGAGGAAATGATCAGGGTGAGTGGAGGGAAGGGAGGGAGCGAGGTGGGGGTAGAGAGTCGAGAGGGGAGGTGAAGGCACGGTTCAAGAGAAAGGTCTTGAGACCGGCCTTGAAGGAGGAAAGGGAGGAAGCGGCGAAGGCACTGGGGATGGAGTTCCAGAGCCTAGGGGCTGAGAGGCTGAAGGCCCGGCCACCGATGGTAGGGCGGTTGGGGCGGGGGATGTGGAGCAGACCGGAGCCAGAGGAACGGAGGGTACGGGCAGGTAAGTAGGGGATAGTAGGTCGTAGAGGTAAGAGGGAGCAAGGCCGTGAATGGCCTTGTAGATGAGGATGAGGATCTTGAATTCGATCCTCTGGAGGATGGGGAGCCAGTGGAGGTGAGCGAGGGTGGGAGTGATGTGGTCGCGAAGCCTGGTGCGGGACAGTACACGAGCTGCAGAGTTCTGAATGACCTGCAGTGTGGAGGGAGGGCTGGGAAGGCCGGCGAGGAGAGAGTTCCCATAGTCCATCCTTGAGGTGATAAAGGTGTGGACCACAGTTTCAGCAGCGTGAGGGGTGAGGTAGTGCCGTAGTCTGGCCATGTTCCGGAGGTGGTGGAAGGCGGTGCCAGTTGTGGTGCGGATATGAGGAAGAAAGGACAGCTCAGGGTCGAACAGAACACCGAGGTTCCTGACGGGCTTTGAGAGGTGGAGAGTGCAGCCTTGGATGCTGATGCTGTCAGCGCCTGAGGTGCGGAGGCGCTGACGCGATCCAATCAGGAGGGCCTCAGTTTTACGCACGTTGAGCTGAAGAAAGTTGTCTCTCGTCCAGGACTCGATGTCAGACAGGCAGCTGTCAGGACATCGGTGGTCGTGGAGTTGAGGGTAGAGGAGGAAAGGTTGGGTGTCATCTGCATACATATGGAAGTTAACCCCATGTCTGCGGATGATGTCACCGAGGGGGAGCATATAGAGGGTGAAGAGGAGGGGACCGAGGACAGAGCCCTGAGGGACACCACACAAGACAGACGAAAAGCCGTTTGTGGAAACAAAATGGAGACGGTGGGAGAGGTAGGACCTAAACCACTCAAGGACAGGGCCTTGAAGGTTGAGGTGGGAGGACAAGCGGTGGAGGAGGATAGAGTGGTCGACCGTATCAAATGCGGCCGATAGAAGTTTGAGACTGGAGCGGAGGGCGGTATTGTGGCAAGGTGGAGGAAAAGCAGTCTTGATCAAGAACAAAGGATAGGGTAGGAAGGCCAGCCAAGGATCAAACCAGACTGCTAGGTTGTGCATTGTTTCAGTGAACATGAGAGAGAGGCCAGAGGCCTGCTTTCTGCCAATCTCTTAATTCCATGTGTCATGATAGTGTATGTACAATTGGTGAGTTTTGGATATTATCACTGGGCCTGGCTTGTTATCACTTTCATGGATAAATTATAATAATAATCCTTGCATTTGATATAGCGCTTTTCACATCGGGAGGACGTCCCAAAACACTTCACAGAATACACTGTAAAATGAATTGACTGTATATTTGTGGGCAAACTCGGCAGCCAATTGCGCACAGCAATGTCCCACAAACAGTCGTAGATTGAAAATGACCAATTTATTATTGTTTTTGGTTTTGGAGGGATTATTATTAGGCGTATGGAGTAAGGAAACTTGCCCAAGGTTTCGCCCTGCCTGGAATTGAACTCAGGTCTTTCGCTTGCAAAGCGAGTGCTCTAACCACTGAGCCACAGGACTCCACAAAATTGTCAGTTTGTGCACTGAATGCCAGTAACTCAGTTTAGACTGATGCTCTAATGCAGTGTTGCAGAGGGCTGCAATGTTGGTGGTCCTTAAGGTGAGACATTAATCCAAGGTCCTGTCTGCCTGTTCAGGTGAATGTTAAAAATCTCAGGGCAATATTCAAAAATCACGGGGAGTTTTTCCTGATGTCTTGGCCAACAATTCCCTGCTTTGCTTTGTGTAAATTAGCAGCTTCATTCACCTACAAAGTACACAGTAAAATCCTGTGAAGCTTTTTGAGATGTTTTGACGATATGATAGGCTGCAAGTGAAACTAGGAACGGAGCTAGTAGTTGTATTTGACTAGAAGTTAGATTGGTATTAGTGTTTATGTGCATATGAAACCCTGAAAGCCCTTGGTACTTCAGTGTTTTTTGGCAAAACAAATTAAATGTTTTTTGCAGACCATTTAAAGTGACGTATTTGGACCATTTTGAAGTATTTATTTGTGTACATGCCATTCTTGTGGTTAATTGGAAGCAGTGTGTGATGTAAGATCAAGATCAAGCTCACTGGAAACTGGTTACACTCATTCATAAAGCCATTTTGCATGCAATCCCTGATAGCCAGGAAATAGAGAGTTGGGAGCTGGATAACTTCAAGCCCTGAAGGTTAAAAAAAAGCAAATGTGCTTTCAGTTTAGAAATCGTATAATCCCTTGTCTGTTGGGGATTGTGCTTTGAACATGTTTGCTGTGGGGAGGGATGGTTTTGAAGACTGCAATCTGTATCTAAATGTGGTGTCCATGATTTTCTTACGTAAATTATGGAATAATTTGAATTACTGTATTTCTTTGGGGGAGAATCTCGTTTTAGCTTTAACCTGAAATGTTCTATGCCAGTTCTGAACTGGTTGTTTTCACCAATGAATTTTTTACATTTTGCAAATTTATTTTCAAACTGTCTTTCTGCAGAGTGAAATCCTGACTAGTTTTTACTTGAAACCATTATGAATTGACTTCTACAGGTAGTAGTGCAGTGCTGTTGGTTTTGTGGTGAGCTTTGCTCTGCAGCCTGCATGATGCAATGGAGAATTGTCATTCTTAAATAGTTACGCTTTAGCTTCCCTAATTTGGTAAAGTTCATGTTTAAAGTGAAACTGCTTCACAGCCAACAAGATGCACTTCAAACAAACTAATTAAAGGTGTTCAAGTTCATAAATTTTTAAAAAACAGTATGCAGGTGCACAAGATAATTAAAAAGCCTAATGCATTTATCACAACGGAGCTAGAATACAAGAGTCAAGAAGTGATGCTACACTGTATACCTGACTGTCCAGCGCCTTGGGATTCCTCCTGACGTGAAAAGCGCGATACAAATGTAATTTGTTGTTGGTCAGACCCAATGGGACTCGATCTCCACCCCTGCCTCCTCTGTCTCTGCTGACTTTTGTCTCCTGTTCCAGTCTGTACATTAACTCTGTCACCCCTTGACCGAGTGATCTATGTGGTTTCTCCATCTTGGACATCACTGGTATAAACCCATCTAAGATCACTCCCTCATCTCCCTGAACTCCTCCATCCCCTCCCTGTCACCCAAAATACCATCATCTTTTTCTATCCCTGGAGAAAATTATCCCTCATGCTGTATCTATTGCCCTTATGTCTTCTGCACTCATGGCATTCTGCCTGCCTTAATTTTAACTCTTGTCAACCTTTTGCACAACTCCCTCACCACACCTATTCTCAACACGCTCGCCCCCATCACTTCTCACACTGCCTCGTACCCCTTCCAAGTTCCCTGGTACATCAGCCACCTCCACTCCCTCATGTCATGGGTCATTGCTGCTAAATGCATCTGACTTGTAGTCCACTACCAGATCTATCTAGACAACCACTGAAACCTGTCATTCAGCCCTCATGTCAGACAAATCATTCTTCTATTCCAGCATCATAACAACCAGGACAACCCTCTTCACCACCATCCACCTCCCAATGCTCTGCTCATCCTCCTCTCCAATTCCAAATGTGAAGAGATAACAGACTTCCTGAGTTCAAAATAGTGACTATCTGCTCTGCAGCTTCTGCTACCCCCTCACCTGTGTTCTCCACCCACCATATGCCTATCTCATTTGCAACGTGGACCCCACCATGTGCTCCCTTGACCCTATCCCCACTCTCCTGAACTTCCAGCTCCACCTCCTTGGCTCCCAGCTAACCAACGTTTTTAATCTCAACAATAAATTGCAATTATATTGCACCTATCACATCGAGAGGATGGCCCAAAGCGCTGGACAGTCAAGGGTTTGCACATGCATTGGATGTTGGGTTGGAGTTGGGAGGGGTGGGGTCTAAAGAGCACATGTGGGTGGGAAGGTGACTGACAGCACGGTCAAAGAGGAAGGACCTTGAAGGAGGCAAAGTTAAGGGACACCTATTGGAGTTCCAGAGTGTTGGGGGCAGAAAGGACTGCCGATGGCGAACCCCTCTCTCTCTGTTCACAGTTAAAAGTTGCTTCAAAACCGCTCTCATCACCTTTCCCCACCACTCCTGCCCCGTTCGCCCCCTTAAAAAAGAGAGAGTGGAAACAATACCAACTGTTGCTGCAGTCTTGTCAGGAAGGCAAGCACATCTCTTATCAGTCCTTATCAACCCCGCCAGCTTCTGTCATTGCAGATAGTGACCCACATGGCCGATTGGGGGGGGGCGGAGTATGTGTGCGAGAGAGAGTTAAGAAAGGTAGAGTGAGAAAGACTGAGAGAGTGAGAGAGAGAACAAAGAGATTGAGAGAGAATGGGATAGAGTAAGAGGGAGAGAGAGTGTGAGAGGGGTAGAGAGAGAATGTGTGAGGGAGAGTTAAGAAAGGGGAAGTGAGAGTGTGTGTGTATGAGGTGGGAGGGAGTGAATGAATGTGAGGGAGAAGGGGAGAGAAACAGGGAGAGATTGAGAGAGAGTTTGCATGGGGATAGAGAGTGTGTGTGGGAGAGAAGGAATGAGAGAGTAATTGAGAGGGTGTGAGAGAGCGGAGGAAAGAGTGGTGGAGAGGGCGGAGATAGAGTGTGGGTTTGAGAAGTGGAGTGGGAGAGAGTGTGTACAAGAGAGTGAGANGGGGGAGAGAAGGAGAGAGTGTCCTCCTCTCTCTCTCCTCCCCCTTCTCACCCCTGCTCTCCTACCCACTTTCCCCCTCTCCTCTCTCAATCCCTCTGTCACCCAATCAACCACGGGGGAATCACTATCTGCAGTGATTGGAGCCGGCGGTTGCTAAGGACGCGGTTGGTAAGGGACAGACTGCAGCAAGGCCAGTATTATTTCCACTCTCAATGCTGCGTCCTCCCAGCCGCTGGCTCCTGACACTGCCCTGGGAGGACATTCGTCGGGAGGGAGCGGAAGTTGGAATGTTGGAAATGCTCTTGAATCTGATGCGCCAGCTGATCCATGCTGGAAGTGGCCCATGGACCTTTTTCAAACAGGGAATCCGGCCCGCAGCAGCCGAAAGGTTGGACCACCCTGCCTTATAGTGTTTCTACTATGAATGGACTAATTGTGACGAGAAAACAATGTTCAATGTGCCACAGTAAAAGCTGGATGACATTTTCCAGCTGTAGTGTGATGCCTGTGCGGGTTCAGTGTGGATGCTGCATATAAAGTATGTTGCTTTGATCTGACCCATTGTAATACATTTCACAACAAATTTCAAACAAGTGATAATTTTGCAACTTGAATTTATTTAAAGTAACTTTGTTTTAAACAAGTGGCTGAAATCTTCATGCAGGCTGCTGTTTACATTGTCTACTAATGTACTAATGCAAATGTACTGAGGGAAGTATGTCTTTAGGTTCCCTTGCATTTTTCTGAACATAACTGTGCTGAATCATAAACTGTTAATATGGGGTTATGTTTCAATATGGGATGGTGATTGCAGTACAGCATATTGGTGCACACCCTGTGCACTAATTCTAGTGAGCAATGGTGCAGTTGGAGAATTTTGTTACTCAAATGGCAGTTAAATACAAAGTGATTTGATTTTATTATTGCAGGAGGACAATGGATTACCTGTCCACTTGAAGGGTGGAGTAACAGATGCACTGCTTTACAGGCTAACGATGGGTCTCACTGTTGTGGGTAAGGAAGCTGCATTGAAAGTACAGGAGGGAAAAATCTGTGCTTGGTATCAAGTGTTGTTAAATTCTCTCTAAGATACGAAAAAGTCAATAACAGTTTGTCTTTTTCAGGTACAGGGTATGTTCTGTATGAACTGTTCAATGCTGCAATGCCCAAGAAGAAGTGACCTACCTGCCTACACAACGATGCTCATCTCTTAAACTTTTTAAATGGTTAAACTGTAAATGTTCAGGGAACTGCTATCCTTGTGAATGAAGCTTCAGGCAACTGTAATAATATGAAATATACATACAGTCTATTATAAAGCAGTTTAACACGTCTGACGTGTATATTTTTGAGTTTGCGAAACTCTAATCACCTTCGTGTCTCACCAACCACTCTGACCTAACAGTCACCCTATGTCTTCAAACACTGTGACCTAACACATCAACAGTCACATCAATCATTACGATTTGACAGTCACCCTCTGTACAATTGATCTAACATTTCACCCTGGTGTCTCACCAACCACTACAACTTGAGTCACCTTGTGTCTCACCAACCACTCTAATCTGACAGTCGCCCTGTGTCTCTCCAAACACTGTGGAGTCCACTAACCTGTGTTTCACCAACCACGCCGATCAAAGAGTCAGTTTGGCTGTCACCAGCCACTCTAGCCTTATGTCTCCAAACGCTTTGACCAACCCATGACTCACCAAACAGTAGGACATGACCCTGCATCTCCAAACAAGCGTAAACTTCCTGCTTGTCGGCCTCCCCAACTCCTCTCTCCATAGCCTGCAGATCATCCAGAACTCTCCCGGATCAGGCTCCGTGTCCCTATCCCCATCCTCGCCCAACTCCACTGGCTTCCCATCACACAGTTCAAGATCCTGGTCCTCGTTTTCAAAGCCCTCCATGGCCTTTTTCCCCACCCCCCCACCTATGTGATCTAACCCCGTATCAACCTGCCTGCTCCCTCCGCTCAGTGGGCTCTGTCCTGCTTCACATTCCCCCACCTTGCCCACGTCACCATTGGCGGACAAGCCTTCAGCCACTCTGTCCCTATTCTCTGGAATTCCATCCCTCAGTCCCTCTGCCTCAAGACCCTCCTCGACCTCCTTCCACCCTGCCCGATCCTGATCCCCAGCTCATCCAAACCATGACCTGTTGAGACCTAACAGTTGTGGTCACATCAACCACGATGATTTGACAAATCGGCCTGTGTACTCTGACCTGCAACCCTTTGTCTAAGCAATCACTCCATACTTGACAGTCACCCTATTTCTTATCAACTACTACGACCGGACAGTAACCCTGGTGTCTAACGAAACATTCTGACCTCTATCAGTTATCCTGTGTCTCACCAAACACTCTGACCTGATCACCACCACGAACAATAAATTACATCTGTATAGCGACTTTCACATTGGGAGGATGTCCCAAGGAACTGAATAATCAGCGATTTTGACCTGAGCTGGGGGTTGGGATCAGGAGGGTGGAAGGCAGGAAAGCTAGGGGTAGGAAGGTGAACAAAGGTCTAGTCGAAGAGGAGAGTCTTGAAGGAGGCAAGAGAGTGAGGCGAAGGGACTGTGGGGTGAAGTGTGTCAGAAAAGCTGAAGGCCTGATCGCAGATGGTGGGGCAGGCCAGAGCCCATCGAGCAGAGTCAATATGGAGTTAGCAGGCCACAGAGGTAGAGAAGCACAAGGCCGTGGCGGGCTTTGAAGGCAATGATGAGGATTTTGAACTCTTTCCTCTGGGGGATGGAGAGCCAGTGGTGTTTGGCGTTGGTGAAAGTGACCGGGTCATGGAGCTTATTGCGGGAGAGGACACAAATGATCTGCAGCCTGTGGAGGGAACAGCTGGGAAAGCCGACAAGCAGGGAGTTAGCGAGCCTGGATGTGATGTATGTGTGGATGAGGGTCTCACGTCCTGAGGGGAAAGGCAGTGGTGGAGCCAGGTGATGTTGAGGTGGTGGCGGAAGGCAGAACAAATCATGGAACGGATGTGGTAGAAGGACAATTGAAGGTCAAATAAGATGGCTAAGGTTATGGACTGGCTCAGAGTGGAGAGTGCATCCATGGATCGTAATACTGTCAGTGCTTGAGGTGTGAAGGCACTGACGGGAACCAATCGGGAGGGCCTTGGTCTTGTTGACATTCAACAGGAGAAAGTTAGCCCTTCCCCCATGCTTGGGCCCCGACACCTGACTGTTCAGCGCTTTGGGACGTCCTCCCGACGTGAAAGGCATCTATAAATTGGAGTCCTGTAGCTCAGTGGTTAGAGCACTCGCTTTGCAAACGAGAGACCCGAGTTCAATTCCAGGCAGAGGGCGAAACCTTGGGCAAGTTTCCTTACTCCACACAGAGCCTAATAATAATCCCTCCAGAACCAAAAACAATAATAAATTGGTCATTTTCAATCTACGACTGTTTGTGGGACATTGCTGTGCGCAATTGGCTGCCGCGTTCGCCCACAAATATACAGTCAATTCACTTTACAGTGTGTTCTGTGAAGCGGTTTGGGACGTCCTCCTGACGTGAAAAGCGCTATATCAAATGCAAGGATTATTATTATTATTATTAAATGTAATTTTGTTGTTGAAGGCAGAGACAGGCAGAGGTAGGGGGATCAAGATATTGGAGGGCTTTGAAGGTGAGGACCAGGATCTTGAACTGTATCCCCTATGTGATGGGAAGTCAGTGGAGCTGGATGAGGAGGGGGGTGAAAGGGTCGCAGAGCCTATAGTCAGTGTCAGCTACAGTCAGTGTCAGCTACAATCAGAGTCAGTGTCAGCTACAATGATTGTCAGCTACAGTCACTGTCAGCTAGATTCATTGCCATTGTCAGCTACAATCAGTATCAGTCTCAGCTACAATCAGTTCCATTGTCAGCTACAGTCAGTGCCACTGTAATAATAATAATAATAATCCTTGCATTTGATATAGCGCTTTTCACGTCAGGTTGTCAGCTACAGTCAGTGTTGCCAGCTAAAGTCATTGTTGTTGTCAGCTACAGTCCGTGTCATTGTCAGCTACAGTCAGTGCCATTGTCAGCTACAATCAGTGCCATTGTCAGCTACAGTCAGTGCCATTGTCAGCTACAGTCAGTGCCATTGTCAGCTACAGTCAGTGCCATTGTCAGCTACAGTCAGTGCCATTGTCAGCTACAGTCAGTGCCATTGTCAGCTACAGTCAGTGTCGTTGCCAGTTACAGTCAGTGCCATTGTCAGCTACAGTCAGTGCCATTGTCAGCTACAGTCAGTGCCATTGTCAGCTACAGTCAGTGCCATTGTCAGCTACAGTCAGTGCCATTGTCAGCTACAGTCAGTGCCATTGTCAGCTACAGTCAGTGCCATTGTCAGCTACAGTCAGTGCCATTGTCAATTACAGTCAGTGTCGTTGTCAGCTACAGTCAGTGTTGTCAGCTACAGTCAGTGTCATTGTCATTTACAGTCATTTTCATTGTCAGTTACACTCAGTGTCGTTGTCAGCTACAGTCATTGTCGTTGTCAGCTACAGTCATTGTCGTTGTCAGCTACAGTCAGCGCCATTGTCAGTTACAGTCAGCGTCATTGTCATTTACAGTCAGTGTCATTGTCAGCTACAGTCAGTGCCATTGTCAGTTACAGTCAGTGCCATTGTCAATTACAGTCAGAGTCACTGTCAGCTACAGTCAGTGTCATTGTCAGCAACAGTCAGTGTCATTGTGAGCTACAGTCATTGTCAGCTAAAGTCAGTGTGATTGTCAGTTACAGTCAGTATCATTGTCAGCTACAGTCATTGTCGTTATCAGCTACAGTCATTGTCATTATCAGCTACAGTCAGTATCATTGTCAGCTACAGTCAGTGTCGTTGTCAGCTACAGCCAGTGCCATTGTCAGCTACAGTCAGTGCCATTGTCAGCTACAGTCAGTGCCATTGTCAGCTACAGTCAGTGCCATTGTCAGCTACAGTCAGTGCCATTGTCACTTACAGTCAGTGCCATTGTCAGCTACAGTCAGTGCCATTGTCAGCTACAGTCAGTGCCATTGTCAGCTAAAGTCAGTGTTGTTGTCAGCTACAGTCAGAGTCACTGTCAGCTACAGTCAGTGTCATTGTCAGCTACAGTCAGTGCCATTGTCAGCTACAGTCAGTGCCATTGTCAGCTACAGCCAGTGCCATTGTCAGCTACAGTCAGTGCCATTGTCAATTACAGTCAGTGTCGTTGCCAGTTACAGTAATTGTCGTTGTCAGTTACAGTCAGTGTCATTGTCAGTTACAGTCATTGTCAGTTACAGTCATTGTCAGTTACAGTAATTGTTGTTGTCAGCTACAGTCATTGTCTTTGTCAGCTATAGTCAGTGTCATTGTTAGCTACAGTTAGTTTCATTGTCAGCTGCAGACATTTTCGTTGTCAGCTACAGTCATTGTCACTGTCAACTACAGTCATTGTCGTTGTCAGCTACAGTCAGTGTCACGGTCAGCTACAGTCAGTGTTGTTAGCTTTAGTCATTGTCATTGTCAGCTACAGTCAGTGTCATTGTTAGCTACAGTCATTGTCAGCTACAGTAAGTGTCACGGTCAGCTACAGGCAGAGTCACTGTCAGCTACAGTCATTGTCATTGTCAGTTACAGTCAGTGTCGTTGTCAGCTACAGTCAGTGTTGTTGTCAGCTACAGTCATTGTCATTGTCAGCTACAGTCAGTGTTGTTGTCAGCTACAGTCAGTGTCGTTGTCAGCTACAGTCAGTGTTGTTGTCAGCTACAGTCAGTGTTGTTGTCAGCTACAGTCAGTGTCGTTGTCAGCTACAGTCAGTGTTGTTGTCAGCTACAGTCAGTGTCGTTGTCAGCTACAGTCAGTGTTGTTGTCAGCTACAGTCAGTGTTGTTGTCAGCTACAGTCAGTGTCGTTGTCACTACAGTCAGTGTTGTTGTCAGCTACAGTCATTGTCATTGTCAGCTACAGTCAGTGTCATTGTCAGCTACAGTCAGTGTCATTGTCAGCTACAGTCAGTGTTGTTGTCAGCTACAGTCAGTGTCGTTGTCACTACAGTCAGTGTTGTTGTCAGCTACAGTCAGTGTCATTGTCAGCTACAGTCAGTGTTGTTGTCAGCTACAGTCAGTGTCATTGTCAGCTACAGTCAGTGTTGTTGTCAGCTACAGTCAGTGTCGTTGTCAGCTACAGTCAGTGTCGTTGTCAGCTACAGTCAGTGTCATTGTCAGCTACAGTCAGTGTTGTTGTCAGCTACAGTCAGTGTCGTTGTCAGCTACAGTCAGTGTCATTGTCAGCTACAGTCAGTGTTGTTGTCAGCTACAGTCAGTGTTGTTGTCAGCTACAGTCAGTGTTGTTGTCAGCTACAGTCAGTGTCGTTGTCACTACAGTCAGTGTCATTGTCAGCTACAGTCAGTGTTGTTGTCAGCTACAGTCAGTGTTGTTGTCAGCTACAGTCAGTGTCGTTGTCAGCTACAGTCAGTGTCGTTGTCAGCTACAGTCAGTGTCATTGTCAGCTACAGTCAGTGTCGTTGTCAGCTACAGTCAGTGTTGTTGTCAGCTACAGTCAGTGTTGTTGTCAGCTACAGTCAGTGTTGTTGGTTGTCAGCTACAGTCAGTGTCGTTGTCAGCTACAGTCAGTGTTGTTGTCAGCTACAGTCAGTGTCGTTGTCAGCTACAGTCAGTGTTGTTGTCAGCTACAGTCAGTGTTGTTGTCAGCTACAGTCAGTGTCGTTGTCAGCTACAGTCAGTGTCATTAAGCTGCGAGAATTTGATATAGGAGTTGAGGAGAGGCCGAGGGTGAGGGGGTGAGGAGAGGCCGAGGGGTGAGGAGAGGCCGAGGGATGAGGGGGTGAGGAGAGGCCGTGGGTGAGGGGGTGAGGAGAGGCCGAGGGTGAGGGGGTGAGGAGAGGCCGAGGGTGAGGGGGTGGGAGAGGCCGAGGGTGAGGGGTGGGGAGAGGCCGAGGGTGAGGGGGTGAGGAGAGGCCGAGGGTGAGGGGGTGAGGAGAGGCCGAGGGTGAGGGGGTGAGGAGAGGCCGTGGGGTGAGGAGAGGCCGAGGGTGAGGGGGTGAGGAGAGGCCGAGGGTGAGGGGGTGAGGAGAGGCCGAGGGTGAGGGGTGGGAGAGGCCGAGGGTGAGGGGGTGGGGAGAGGCCGAGGGTGAGGGGGTGGGGAGAGGCCGTGGGTGAGGGGGTGAGGAGAGGCCGAGGGTGAGGGGGTGAGGAGAGGCCGAGGGTGAGGGGGTGAGGAGAGGCCGAGGGTGAGGGGGTGAGGAGAGGCCGAGGGTGAGGGGGTGAGGAGAGGCCGAGGGTGAGGGGGTGAGGAGAGGCCGAGGGTGAGGGGTGGGGAGAGGCCGAGGGTGAGGGGGTGAGGAGAGGCCGAGGGTGAGGGGGTGAGGAGAGGCCGAGGGTGAGGGGGTGAGGAGAGGCCGAGGGTGAGGGGGTGAGGAGAGGCCGAGGGTGAGGGGGTGAGGAGAGGCCGTGGGGTGAGGAGAGGCCGAGGGTGAGGGGGTGGGGAGAGGCCGAGGTCGCAGTAAGATGGCTGCCCGGGACATGCTGGTGAGCTCGGCAAGTCTGGCGTCATACACTGCGGCGCTGCAGGTAAACGGAGGCGATGTGTACGGTGGGGGCGCGTGGGGTGGGGGGTGGGGGGGGGGTATGTGGTGTGTGTGAGGGGTATGTGGTGTGTGTGGGGGGTATGTGGTGTGTGTGAGGGGTATGTGGTGTGTGTTGGGGGGTATGTGGTGTGTGTTGGGGGGTATGTGGTGTGTGGGGGGTATGGTGTGTGTTGAGGGGTATGTAGTGTGTGTGGGGGGTATGTGGTGTGTGTGAGGGGTATGTGGTGTGTGTTGGGGGGTATGGTGTGTGTTGATGGGTATGTAGTGTGTGTGGGGGGTATGTGGTGTGTGTGAGGGGTATGTGGTGTGTGTTGGGGGGTATGTGGTGTGTGTGGGGGGTATGTGGTGTGTGTGAGGGGTATGTGGTGTGTGTTGGGGGGTATGTGGTGTGTGTGTGTTGGGGGGTATGTGGTGTGTGTGGGGTATGGTGTGTGTTGAGGGGTATGTGGTGTGTGTTGGGGGGTATGTGGTGTGTGTGGGGGGTATGTGGTGTGTGTGTGTTGAGGGGTATGTGGTGTGTGTGTGGGGGGGGTTATGTGGTGTGTGTTGGGTGGGTGGGTATGTGGTGTGTTTGTGGGGGTGTATGCAGTGTGTGTTGGGGGGAATGTGGTGTGTGGTGGGGAGGTATGTGGTGTGTGTGCGCGGGGCCAGTATGTGGTTTTTGTGGGGGATAGGGTATGTGGTGTGTTAGAGTGGGGTATGTGATGTGTGTGTGATGGTGTGTGTGGGGGGGCTATGTGGTGTGTTGGGGGGAGGTATGTGGTGTGTGGGGGAAATGTATGTGGTGTGTGTAGGGGGGGGGTATGTGGGGTGGGGGGTGGTATGTGCTGTGTGTGGGATGGGTATGTGGTGTGTGTGGGGGGGGTGGGTATTTGGTGTGTGGGCAAGAGTATGATGAGTGTGTGGGGGGAGTCGTGGTGTGTGTGGGGGTTATGTGGTGTGTGTGTGGGGTATGGTGTGTGGGGGGTTGTATGTGGTGTGTGGGGGAGATGTATGTGGTGTGTGTAGGGGGGGTTATGTGGGGTGGGGGTCGGTATGTGCTTTGTGTGGGATGGGTATGTGGTGTGTGGGGGGGTGGGTATTTGGTGTGTGGGTAAGAGTATGATGAGTGTGTGGGGGGAGTTGTGGTGTGTGTGGGGGTTATGTGGTGTGTGTGGGGTATGTGGTGGGGGGGGTGTATGTGGTGTGTGGGGCGCGGTTATGTGGTGTGTGTGGGCGGGTATGTGGTTTGTGGAGTGTGGGGGGTATGTGGGGTATGGGGAATGTGGTGTGTGTGCTGTGGGGGTATGTGGTGTGTGTGAGTGAGGTGATGTGTGTGGGTGGGGGGGGCTATGTGGTGTGTTGTGTGGGGGCGGTATGTGGTGTGTGTGTGGAAAGATATGGAGTATGTGTGAGTGGGGTTATGTAGTGGGTGTGTGTGGGGGCAAGTATGTGGTATGTGTGGGGTGGAGGTATGTAGTGTGTTGGGGGGAGGTGTGGTTTGTGGGGGAGAGGTTTGTAGTGTTTGTATGTTGTGTGTGGGGAATTTATGTGGTATGCATGGGGGGTTATGTGATGTGTGGGGGGATTTGACATGTGGTGTGGGGGGGGTTAATGTGTGTGGTGGGGGCTAGTTTGTGGTGTGTGTTTGGTGAATGGGGTATGTGGAGCGTGTGTTTGGTGTGAGTATGTGGTGTGTGTGAAGGGGGTATGTGATGTGTGTGTGGTGTGGTTATAGGGTGTGTGTGGGAGGCTAGTATGTGGTGTATTTGGGGGATGGGGGATGTAGTGTGTGTGTATTTGGGGAGGTATGTGGTGTGTGTGTTATAATAATAATAATAATCCTTGCATTTGATATAGCGCTTTTCACGTCGGGAGGACGTCCCAAAGCGCTTCACAGAATAGACTGTAAAGTGAATTGACTGTATATTTGTGGGCGAACGCGGCATCCAATTGCGCACAGCAATGTCCCACAAACAGTCGTAGATTGAAAATGACCAATTTATTATTGTTTTTGTTTTTTTGGAGGGATTATTATTAGGCTCTGTGTGGAGTAAGGAAACTTGCCCAAGGTTTCGCCCTCTGCCTGGAATTGAACTCAGGTCTCTCACTTGCAAAGCGAGTGCTCTAACCACTGAGCTACAGGACTTGGGGGTTATGTGGGGTGTGTGTGTATGGGAGAGGGTATGTGGTGTGGTTAAACTTAATAGTTCCTCAACACAGTCTATAGCTACAAGTCTTAACACTTGCCAATCTTGGCTAAAACTTTGGGGTGGTGGAGGGGATGTGACGTGTGTGGGGGTGGGGGGTATATGTGGTGGGTTAGTACCTCTGGGAAGAGAGTGTGCATTCTATTCACACCCAGGCATCTCCATATGCGGGTGGCTTACGTAGGTGTAACTATCTGATTTCGATATTCTTAAGGAATCGTGATGGATTTCTGCATGTCTCAGACACCTAAATTGCTGGAATCACAGAATCTCAAATCCTAAGGATTTATGGGACATAGCAACTATCAATGACTTGAATAATATGGAAACATTAGAAATATTTTAGTTTCTGTGTAATGGTATGTCTGGTTAAAGTGACCAGTAGGATTGACATTATCGTGGCAGTACTGTGAGCAGCTGATTATGTTACATATTTGATCCTCAGGTGTTGTTTCGTGGGATGACTTTTCTCTTGAATGCTTTTACGTTGCGCTATGTCTCCAAGGAGATCATTGGACTTGTTAATGTGAGGTAGGAAATGATAATCTTATTTTTAAATTCTCTTTATCCTGATCTAAGCTTAAACTTTTTTTTACCTCTTTTGTACAGCAAGAAACTTGGAGATCTAAGAGTCTTATTAATATTGGTAAAATATACCGTAGTCTCAGATTTCAGCTATCATCACACTATATTTTTAAGGAATTTTGCTTCTGGCATTATCAAGGAATTTGCAATCAATTACCATCTCTTCCTGCTCAGGCTTACCTTGCTGTACTCTACGATTATTTTCCTGGCACGAGAAGCATTTCGAAAAGCTTGTTTAAGTGGTGGTGCAGAACAGAATTGGACACAGATTATAAACCTACTATGGCTGACGTGAGTTTCCGTTGTTTATCTGAAAATGCTGTACACTGGAACGTCCTCCCGACGTGAAAGGCGCTATACAAATGTAATCTTCTTGTTGTTGATTCACCTCCAGGGCTCTACATTTTCCTAGTTTCACTATTTTCTGGCCCAGCATCTCTATTTTGTCTAATCTGATAGTTTCTCCATTCTGCTCCAATACAAACATGTGTGACATTCCCAGGGCTTTATCCTTGGTCCTCTTCATCATCCCTTTGATAGCATCATCCTCAGACATTGGATCACAGGATGGTGGTGTCCTGTAGTGTTTGGTTTGAGCACTCGCCTTGAAAGCAAGAGGACCTGGGTTTGATTCCCGTCAGGGCGAAAGTTTAGAAAAGTTTCCTTACTCTTACCTAGCAGTAGGTAGGAACCCAGTTGTTAATCAATTGGTGGACTGCTTTCTCGGGGTCACTGTCTTGCCCCTTTACTCGTTCTCTCACTCTCTTTCCCCCGTTTGCAGCCTTTGTCCTCTCCTGCACCAGACTGTGTGAACCTATCGTTCTCATCCTTTTTCACCTCCATTGGCTATCCACCTCCCAGCGGATCGAGTTCAAGACTCTCGTTCTCGCATTCAAATCCCTGGTTTTGATCAGTCCAATGATGTCTATATTTTCGTCCAAGGTGAGTTCATGGATAGTGGGGGCTTTATTAACAGAGTGCAGGGCGATGTGGAGGGGACAGCCAGCCATGGAGTTTGTAGGCAGATTGAGGAGGGCGAGTGTCGGGAAACGTGAGGATATGAAGTGAATGGACTCATTTTTATTTGGGAGAATTGTTTGCCAGGAACCCGAGAGAAATTCCCTTCTCTTTTCATATAGTGCCTTGGTTTAACATCTCATCCGAAGGATAGCACGTCCAAGAATGCAACACATTCCCAGCAGTGCATTGGAGTATCAGCAAAGATTATATGAGTTCAAAGTCACAATATGGGGCTTGAACCCACAGTCTTCTGAGATCAGAGTGGTACCAACTTAGCCAGGCTGACAATGTGTAATGTTTAAAATCCTTTATACCATTTGGTGTATATTTTCTCTCCCTATTTTAGAATATAATCTCACATTTTTCTGCATTTAATGTCATCTGTCTTGCTTAATCCACAATCTACTGTCTTCCTGAAGTAGCTTCACAGTTACCCAGTGATTGTTCAAAGGAATTGCGGAAATATTTTGTGTGATCCTGATTGTGTTTGGCTGCTTCTCAAAAATTCTGCACTTGTGTCCCTCTGATAGGGTTCCTCTGGGTATGCTGTGGGCTGTGCTGCTGAGCTGGGTCTGGCTACGACTGCTGCAAGTCCCAGACCCAGCATTGCTACCACATTATGAGGCTGCAGTTGTGCTCTTTAGTCTCTCTGCAGTGGTAGAGTTGCTTGTGGAGCCACTTTGTGTGCTCGCACAGGCACACATGTGTGTTAAGCTCAAGGTAAGTTCCAACGTTGTCACTTAGCTCTGTATCTGATTTCATTTTTCCCCTTTTTTAAATGTTGTTTTTTGCTCATTAAGTTTTCCTGCTTAGATTAATTGCGCTCCCCTTGTTGGAAGATTGTTCTTGTGACTGCATCCATGTGGGAAATGCCCCTTCCCTGTACCTCCGTCTTGGTGTTTATCATGCATTGGAGACAATATTCTTAACTAATGAATAATTTGTAGAGATTTAGTAATGGTAACCAGAGGGCACAGATTTAAGATACTTGGCAAATTACTATTTCAGACCCAATGCCGCTGAAGTACTCAGTCATTCTTCATCACGTCCCGCTTAGACTTTTCCTATCTTTTTGTGGGTCTCCTCGCTCCACAAGATAAGATGATAACATAACATAAGATGCAACTATTTCAAAACGTGCATCCTCAGCTGGAGCAACTCTGCATGCCCATAACCCCAGTCCTTGGTAGTCTCCACTGACTGTCACCTAATGGATTGAATTTTTGGATTGGAGACCTGTAGCTCAGTGGTTAGAGCACTCGCCTCACAAGCGAGAACCTGGGTTCGATTCCCGGCAGAGTGAAATCTTGAAATCAAGAAGTTTCTTTATTCCACACTCCTGGTAATAATCCCTCAAGAAAATAACAATAATAAATTGATCACTTCAATCCACGACTGTTTGTGGGACACTGCTATGCGCAATTGGCTGCAGCATTTCGCCCACAAATATACAGTCAATCCACTTTACAGTATATTCTGTGAAACGCTTTGAGATGGCTAGAAGATATGAAAAGCATTATATCAAATGAAAGGATTATTATTATTAATTTTAGCTAATCTTTTATTTTGTTCTAAATCTCGCTGAAGCTTTCCCTCTTCTCACAGAAGTTTCTTCTGTTTTAACTGCATTCTATTTAGTTTAGTTTACAATATGCAATACACAATGTACAGTAGAATTTAATTTCACTGAGTGTGCTTTGAAGTTTTTATGCAAAATTAAATGGTCTTCAAAAATAATAAAATATCTTTCGGATACCATTTGCAGTATTGAGAAGTGTCTTTTGGAGTCCCGTAGCTTAGTGGTTAGAGCACTCGCCTCACAATTCAATCCTAATCAATTCCATTTTGAAAGCTATTATCGAATCTGCTTCCACCATCTTTTCAGGCAGTGCATTTCAGACCGTAACAAATCTATGGGTAAGAATATTTTTCTTCATCTCTGGTTCTTTTGCCAATTATTTTAAATTTGTTCCCTCTGGTTACCAACCCACTGCCAGAGGAAACAGTTCCTCCCTGTCTACTCTATCAAAACCCTCTCATAATTTTGAACACCTCTATTAAATCTCTCCTCAATCTTCTCTGCTCTAAGCAGAACGATCCCAACCTCTCTAGCCTCTCCACATAATTGAGGTACCATATCCCTTGTATCATTCTGCCATGTGTCTGCCTGTTTCACCAGCATGTCTGTATCCTCCTGCAGTCTGCTACTGTCATCCTTACTCTTTACTACTTTTCAAAGTTTTGTGTCGTCTGTGAAATTTAAAATTTTGCTCTCTATACTCAAGTCCAGGTCATTAATATACATTAAAAAGAGCAGTGTCCTTGGGAACACCATTGCATACCTCTCTCCAGTCTGAAAAACAACCATTCACCACTACCCTCTTTCTGTCTCCCAGCCAAATTCAAATCCATGCTGTTCCCTTAATCCCATGAGCTTCAATTTTGCTAACAAGTCTATTATGTGGCACTTTATCAAATGCCTTTTCAAAGTCCATATAGACAACACCACAGCATCAACTGTACTACCTTCAATCACCCCTCTCTATTACTTAGTCAAAAGTAAAGCAAATCTTCCTCAAGTAAAGCAAATATCTTTCACATCAAAGAATGTTGCAGTATTGAAATAAGCCGTTAAACCCATATCCACTATATTTTACTCCTCATGAGCCAAGCTGATCAACTCTCCTTTCATTCCCCAAAACTCTTTAAAATTTGTCATCGGGAAGAACCATACATGTGCCCTGCATTATTCCCCATTGTTCCCAACCAATGGTGCAGAGCCAGGTGACTGCTGCATACTGCAGAATCAGTTAGAGTGACAGTGCGACTCATCTGCATGTAAAGCTTACAAACTGATCTTTGAACGTGTACTGATTGTGAATACAACCTGAGTGCAACATTCTTTTGAATGTTTGTCTATCTTTATTTTTCCAGGTAATTTCCGAAAGCCTGTCCATGGTAACAAAGTGTGTGCTGACAGTTGTGTTAGTCATGGTTGTTCCACAGTGGGGCCTCTTCATATTTTCTTTAGCCCAGGTAAATCAGCAACTGTCCACCTGNTTTTTTTCCTCCAAAAATTTCCCCTCTTCTGAAGTTGACTAATTGTACCGTTGCGAAGTAATGTCATAAGCGAGAGGACCTGGATTTGATTCCCAGGCAGGGCGAAACGTTAGGCAAGTTTCCTTACTCCACACACCTCTGTTTACCAGGCAGTAAGGAACCCAGTTGTTAGTCGATTGGCAGATCGCTATTCCGCGGGTAATAATCCCTACATAAAAAAAAATTTGGTCACTCAATCCATGACTGTTTGTGGGATATTGCTGAGTGCATTTGTCTGCTGTGTTTCTCTCTCAAGGAATACAGTCAATTCACTTTACAGTATGAGTGAAGTTCTGTGCAGTGTTTTGACACGTCTGTAAGTGTGATAAGGCGCTATATCAAATGCAAGAATTATTATGATTATTATTACCTCTCCCACAGGCACCCTCGGTACCTCTCAGTAGCCGTTCTTCACTTGTCAGCCTGGATTGTCCTGTGCACAGTTAATGTAACTCGCATCTAATCTCACAAAGTGGATTTGAGTCAAAGTCTCCAGAGCTCATTTGTTTTTCACTCACACATTAGTAGCCAGAAACATTATTGCTTGAGTTTTGCTTCCTATTAGTTATTGTTGATGATGATCAATGGGGAAAGAGTTGGAAAGTGAGATTAATTAAAAAAAGACAAAAATGTAGCAGTGACTTAAACAGTGGGCTTTGTTTGTGTTGGTACAAATGTGAAGTAGATATTAATAAATAAGTATTATCTCAAATACAAATACTTTATTAATATAATGGAAAATGTTGCAGTCAGTTGTTATAGTTATTAAATAAAAGGTTCCAGTTAGAAACAGGCACAATTAGGGCTATGTTTTTCAAGGATTAAGAATGCAATTGTAGATTTCATTTTCTTGTGGCCCTCAAAAAATGGTTGAAATGTGAACATGACTTATTAAATTCTGTTATGAATGATAATAATCTTACATTTCACATTGGGAGGATATCTCAATGCGCATCAAATAATTTACTATAAAGTATAGTGACTGTATTTTGTAGGTAAATGCAGCAGCCAATTTGTGTGCAGCAATGTCCCACAACCAACCCTGAAGTGAGTAACCAATATTATGTGGGAGATTATTGGCCAGGACACAGGCAGAAACTCCCTTTTCTTTTACGAATTGTAAAAGATCTTTAACATCCACCTGAACAGGCACGGATGGGACCTCAGTTTATATTCTCATTTGAAGGATGGTGCAGTGCAGCACTCTTTGAGCATCAGTTGCTGTCAGTCATTTTCAAATCAGTAAACATAGAGAGTCACAGAGAGAAAGAGAGACGGACGGAGGGAGGGAGGGAGGGACGGACGGACGGACGGACGGACGGAGAAAGATAAAGAGACTCTAACAGACAGAGAGAGACACAGAGAGAGAAAGAAAGATACAGACATACACACACACAGATACAGAGAGAGACACAGAGACAGGAGATACCTTCCGCTCAGCGACACTGACTTCATGCTCATTCCCCAATCCTTCTTCACCAACAATGCCAACCTTTTCAACCGCATCTTTGGTCACCTCCAACCTCTCCATCTCAGTGCAACTTATTCAGCTCTCCAAGATATTATGCCTCACTGTATCATTCCAACTTGTGGTTTGAAGGGAATAGACATTGTGCTTTTCAATGGCCTTATTCAAGGTGTCAGTCTAAGCTCAGTTGGTAACACCCTGGCCTCTGGGGTTCAAGCCTCACAATCAGGACTTTGAATTCCAATAATCTAGGCCGGGGGGTGGGGGGGGGGGTGCAACCTTTTGGCTGCCGAGGGATGGATGCCCTATTTGAGTAAAGTCCACAGGCTGCACAGCAATATTTTGTGTTTCCCTTCCATAAACATAACAATATTTACACAGCACCTTTTTCGTGCAGTAAGGACATCTCAAAACTTGACACTGTTGGCTGGGCACCTGAGCTCGGGGTGGGAGCCTTCAGAGGTGGGATGGGGAGGGGAAAAGATGACCAAAGGCAAAAGAATTAGGTTTCACTCAAAAGAATTAGGTTTTGCCGTGCCTTAAAAGAGGGAGCGACTCAGGAGGAACTCCAGGAATGTAGCTCCAGTGAGCAGGGGCAAAATAGCAGTGGTAGATAGGATGGGGTGACATGAGGCAATCCAGTGTTAGCTCTGAAAGGGAACAGTCTGGTCAGGAGGTCACAGGGGTGGGGGTGGGGGGATGAAGGAAGTAAAGCAGTTTCATCATAATAATCCTTGTTAATTATTATTATTATTATTAAAGCAGTTTCTCACTGGGGAAAGAGGGTGATTTCTGTGAGGAAACTGCATGGCAAGTCCCTCAGTGTTTGTCCTAGGATCCCCCAGCGGCGGCCGAGGGAAGCTCTGATAGTCTGTCCTGACAGTGAACCACAAAACACTGTCCACTTCTCTCTCTCTCTCTCTGCTCTCTCATACTTTTTGCTTCTTTCTCTCCACCTCTCGCTCACACACTCTCACAGTCATTCTCTCTCCCCCACTCTCTGTCAATCATTCTCTGTCAATCATTCCCCCCGCTCCCTCTCTCACACACTCTCATTCCCCCTCTCTCACATTCTTTCTCACACACACACTCTCCTCTCACACGCTCTTTCTGAATCACTATCTCCTCCACTCCCCCCCAATCATTCTCCCCCTCTTTCTTTCAATCAGGACGCACACTTAGGAATCCTCTCAGGAAGCCCCTCAGCTCAGGAGGGACTCCCTGACAGACCGCAGTAACAGCTAACGTTATTTCCACTCCCCGACCTGTGTCATCCCAACTGCCGGCTTCTGCCACAGCCATGAGAGGACTTTCGCCGGGGAGGGAGAGGGCAGCTCAAAGTTCGAAATAGTCTCGGGCTGATGACATCATCTGTTGGGCCAAATGCTGTTGGACTGCCCTTGTCCCAGCAGACACTCCAATGCACTGCTGGGGCGTGCTGCATTGTCAGAGGTGCCGTCCTTCAGATGAGATATTAAACCAAAACCCCATCTGCCTGTTCATGTGGATATTAAATATTCCATGGCACTATTTGAACAGAGAAGGGAGTTTCTTCCAGTGTCCTGGCCAACAAATCTCCAAAATAAAATTGATCACTTCATGGACATTAGTGGGGCATTGTTGAGATTTAGAGATTGGGACACTTAAACATCCTTTCAGATGCACTGTACCTCTGACAATTCTCGACTTTGCAGGAATTAATGAATGTTTTTTTTCTTCAGTTGGTTTATGCGGTGTTTCTGCTTATTTCGTACGTATTGTATTTTGTGACGTTTATTGGCTCACATGAAGCACAGAAGAATTCATTCCCTCTAACCAGGGTGATAGATTTGCTCCCGAAATCTATTAATGATCAGGTAACTGGATGCAATGCTGTGTAACTTACGATTTATTTGACAGAAATCAGCTTACACTTCACTAAAAGGTTAACAGATTGCACCAATTTGGGGGAGCAGAGCTGTGTCATCGAGGGAGGTAGCAAAGTCATAGGATATGACTGCAGGAATTAATGAATTTTTTTTTCTTCAGTTGGTTTATATGGTACCTGGAGCTGATCACTGGCAAATGCACCTAATACTTTTCAGAATTAGGTCAGCGGGATGTGTTCTTCCAGGGAGAGAGTGTGCATTCCAATTAAATATCTCTGGAATTTCCATGTATAGGTGGGATGCATGGAACTCTGTTTGGTTTGGATACACTTAAGCATGTTGATGGGATTCCGCATGTGTCAGACACCTGACTGAAAAAAGCCCTGAAGTTTGGTAGAGATGAAGTGAGGTATTTCATACAACAACAAATACAGAAACAAATTTATGTAGCGCCTTTCCTGTTAGGAGGATGTACCACTGGACAATCTAGGGCTTGCACCTGAGTTGGGGTTGGCAGCCAAAAAGGGTGCAGACGCATATTGGTGGGGAAGATGACCAAAGAGGAAGGTCTTTTGGTAGCGAGGGAAGGGCGAGTCATCAGGATTCTGAGATGGAGTTCGAGAGCAGGGGTAGAGAGGCTGAAAGCCCGATGGCTGATGGTGAGGCAGGCAAGTTAGGGGATGTGAAGCAGGCTGGTGCCCACTGAGCAGAGGAGCGGCCGGCCAATTTGTACGGTGTCAGAAGTTCACGGGTAGGGTGAAAACCAATGCGGCATTTAAAGGATAGGACGAGGATCTTGACCTCGATCTGCTGGGGGCTGTCAGGCAAGGATGGGGATGAGAGGCTCAAGGAGCCTAGTGCAGGAAAGAAAACAGCTGCAAAGTTATGGATAGTGTGCATCTTGTGAAGGGAAGAGTTGGTTAGCCCGAACGCAGAGAGTTGTCAAGAGTCATGCCTGGACATGCTGAATGGATAAAGATTGCCATCATGGTGGACTTGATTTTGACAGCCATTCACAGGCGCTTGGAAAATTTCCCGATTTCCTATAGACCCAGTCCCCTACCACAACCACCCCCCAGCCAGCAAGCTTCCTGGTTGGCACTTTAGCTCAGTATCAAATGGGTTAGAGTATTGCCACCATCTTCCTGCCCACAGCTCAGGTACATCCCTTACCATTGAGAGATTATGGTTCCACCAGTTGGAGGTGCGGAACTTGATTGGCAGCTGCGCACTTCTCTGTAAACTAATCAACATGGATTCCAATCCCTGGATGTATGAATATCTGTTCACAAACTCGGACACCAGGTAACGGCTTCCAACACCTGTTACCCAAGCCTCAGAGTTTCTCATCAGCTATCTGGCAGACATCTGCCTTCAGCGTGGTGGGAGGACCTTTACAGGACAGCTTGTGATGTTTCAGCCACCTTGATGTTCCTGAGGTCCAATAGTTGATTCTCCTACTCCTCCTGCCCTGCTTGCTTTCCTTCCCCCTCCCCATTTTCTCCTGTAGTACAGCTGCTTTACTGCAGTTCCTAAAAGGAATGTTTTGTGTTTGCATTTTCTGTAAATCTAACCTAACCTTTTATGATTTTATTTCTTTTTATAGACAATTCTGGATTGGAAATTGGCAGCTCTGACTTGGAGTTTCTATAAACAATCCTTCCTCAAACAAGTTCTAACAGAAGGTAGGGCTTTGTTGGGATCTGGTTTGAAACTGAATATGATTTCTGCAAATGCTTTCCTGTATTGCTCAATATAACTCCAGTCTTACCTATTTCTCTGGGAGGGGTGATACTTGATACAGTGCCTTTCGTGTCAGAAGGACTTCTCAAAGTAGATTCACTGGATAAATTGCAGTCACTGTGTGTTTTGTGGGCAAATTTATAGAAGGAAGTGAGAGAATACGGAAAATAAAGCATCTTCAGAGAAGACTTAACTAATTTTGAACAGGATTTTATTAATTACTGTTCGTTGAAACCTCTTTATGCATCCATGTAATCATCACAGCTAGGTTCGACTATGCTAACTCCCTGCTTGTCAGTCTTCCTAACTCTTCCCTCCATAAGCTGCAGATCATTCAGAATTCACAAAGCGTCACTTTGTGAAATTGCTGAAAAAATGACTCATCTTGTTCTAATTGGCTGCTGCGTTTCACCCACAAAATATACAGTCACTCCACTTTACCGTATATCCTGTGAAGTGCTTTGAGACATCTCGAAGACGTGATAAGTTGCTCAAACCTAAGGATTATTATTATTATTATAAGGTTCTATCAGCACTTTCCAATTATAGTTGCTGGTCACTCATTCTTCATGTGTGAGTCTGGACGGTGGGTGTTAGCTTAGCAGTAAGTAGGAACCCGCTTGATAGTTCGTTTGGTAGATTGCTTTCCAGGGTAATAATCCTCTAAAAAAAGAATAATGTGGTCACTCAATCCACGATTGTTTGTGGGGCATTGCTGTGCGCAATTGGCTGCCGCGTTTCACTTACGAAACACACACACAGTCAATCTACTTTACAGTATATCCTGTGAAGTGCTTTTGAGACGTCTCAACGTGCTAAGGCGCAATCAAATGCAAGCATTATTATTATTATAATTCTGCAGCTCGTGTCCTTTCCTGTACCAAGTTCTGTGAACCCATCACCTCCGTTCTTACCCACTGTCTCCCTATCCCCTAGATGATAGAGTTAAAATCCTCATCCTTGCCTTCAAAGCCCTCCATAACCTTGTTCCTCTCTATCTCTGTGACCTATGTAGACCTGTCCGCTTCCTCCACTCAGCGGACTCTGGCCTGCCCCATTTCCCTCACCCATCCTGTCCCATCATTGGTGGTTGGGCTTTCAACCTTTCTGCCCCCCACCCTTTGGAACTCCATCCCACAGCCCCTTCACATGGTCTCCTCCTTTGCTTCCTTCAAGGCCCATCTCAAGACTCCTCTTCGACCATACCTTCAATCATCCTCCTAACCCTGCCCTCCACACCTCTGATCCCAAACTCCAGCTTTGATCCAAATCCTTGACTGTCCAGTGCCTTGGAATATCTTCCTGACTAGAAAGGAGCTTTACAAATGTAATTTGTTGCTGTTCTTTACCATAGGGTTTGTTTATTTCCATGCAGCCTGTTCACTCCCTGTTTCAGTGACATCTTGCCCTATTCTTCAAATGCAGATATACTGGACTTATACTGGATGTTCTGTCTCAGAAAGTCACACCTTCCATTAGCCATTCATAGAATAGAATCATAGAATGTTACAGCACGGAAGGAAGACATCCGGCCCATCGTGCCTGTGCCAGCTCTCAGAGCTACCCAATCAATCCCACTCCCCCGCTCTTTCCTCATACCGCTGCAAATTTTTCCTTTTCAAGTACCTATCTGGTTCCCTTTTGAAAATTGTTTGAATCTGTTTCCACCACCCAAGGCAGTGCATTCCAGACCATAACAACTCTGCTTACGAAAAAAAATTTCCTCATCTCCCCTCTGGTTCTTTTGCAAATTACCTTAAATCTGGCCCACAGAAACTGAAACAGTTTCTCCATATCTACTGTACCAAAACCCCTCATAATTTGAACACCTCTATTAACTCTCCCATTAACCTTCTCTGCTCTTAAGGAGAACAATCCAGCTTCTCTAGTGTCTCTACATAATTAAAGTCCCTCATTCATCCCCGGTACTATTCTGGTAAATCTCCTCTGCACCCTCCCAAGGCCATGCTATCCTTCCTAAAGTTTGGTGCCCAGAATTGGACACAATATTCTAGCTGAGATCTTACAAGTGATTTAAAGGTTTAGCAGAACTTACCTGCTTTTGTACTCTATGCCTCTATTTATAATGCTAAGGATCCCATATGCTTTTTTTAACAGCTCTATCAACCTGTGCTACCACTTTCAAAGACCTGTATATGTGAACTCCCAAGTCTCTCTGCTCCTTTACCCCTTTAAAACTGTACCATTTATTGTGTATTGTCTCCACTTATTCTTCCTCCCAAAATGTATCACCTCACATTTCTCTGCATTAAATTCTATCTGCCATGTACCTGCCCATTTTGCCATTCTGTCTATATCCTCCTGCAGTCTGCTACCATCTTCCTCATTGCTTACCCCGTTCCCAAGTGTTGTGTCATCTGCAAACTTTTAACATTTATACCCAAGTCCAAGTCATTCACATATATCAAAAAGAGCAGTGGATCTAATACTGACCCCTGGCGGTCACCGTTGTATGCTTCCCTCTCGTCTGAAAAACAACCGTTCACCACTACCCTCTACTTTCATATCAATGTTGCCTTTTATCCCATGGGCTTCAATTTTGCTAACTAGTTTATTATGTGGCACCTTATCAAATGCCTTCTGAAAGTCCACATACACTACATCAACTGTCGTGGAGTCCTGTAGCTCAGTGGTTAGAGCACTCGCTTTGCAAGCGAGAGACCTGAGTTCAATTCCAGGCAGGGCGAAACCTTGGGCAAGTTTCCTTACTCCTCACGCCTAATAATAATCCCTCCAAAACAAAAAACAATAATAAATTGGTCATTTTCAATCTACGACTGTTTGTGGGACATTGCTGTGCGCAATTGGCTGCCGCTTTCGCCCACAAATATACAGTCAATTCACTTTACAGTGTGTTCTGTGAAGCGCTTTGGGACGTCCTCCCGACGTGAAAAGCGCTATATCAAATGCAAGGATTATTATTATTATTATTATTATCTTCATCAATCCTCTCCATCATATTATCAAAGACATCAATTAAGTTTGTCAAACGTGATTTGCCTTTAACAAATCCATGTTGACTGTCATTAATTAGCTTACATTTTTCTAAATGAAAATTAATGTTGTCCCAGCTTATGGTCTCTAGAAGTTTCCCCACCACCGACATTAGGCTGATTGGTCTGTAGTTAGCAGGTTTACCCCTCTCCCCTTTTTTGAACAGGTGTGTAACATTTGCAACCCTCCAGTCCTCTGGCACTACCACCATATCCAAGGAGGATTGAACGATTGTGGCCAGAGCCCCCGCTATTTCCACCCTAACTTCCCTAAGCAGGAGGACATTGCCCCAAGTTGCTGAACAGTCTTAAGGTTTACACCCGAGCTAGAATTGTGGCCGGCGTTTAGGGTGAGAGGAAGGAAGATAGCTGAAAGCACAGACAAAAGATGACATTCTTGGGGTGGACCTTGAAGGCGGTGAGGGAAGGGGTGATTTTTGGAGGGACTTCAGGATGGAGACAGGCTGAATGCCCAACTGCTGATAGTGGGGCAGGAAACGTGAAACTCAGCCCTCTGAGAAGAGATATTGACCAGGTTGGATGAAGAGGTTGAGAGTTAGGGTGGGAGGAATTTAAGGGTTAGGACGCGGATCATTAACCAATTCCACTGGGGGATGGGAAGGTAGTGGAGTGGGTGATAGGCAAGTATTGTCACATATTGACAATGTGGACACAAATCATGTGAACAGTCTTAAGATGTTTTTAAGAAATTGTCACAGATGACAGAGTTAAATAGTAATAGATTATCTCCACCAGTCAGCAATTCAGATATTTTACAATAATTAGAAAATGAATTAAAAAGGAGTTTAAAAAAAACCTTCTATGAAGGAAATTCTCTGCCTCAAACCGTTGTTATAACAAGAGTCTATAAATTATTTTCAAATGGGTTGCGTGAAAGTTGTGTCAGCCTGGCTCAGCTGGTAGCACTCTCTCCTCTGAGTCGAAAGGTTGCAGGATCAAGTACCAAGTCCAGACTTCAAGCTCGTAGTCTAGGCTGATGCTCAATGCAGTGCCAAGAGAGCGCTGTCGGAAGTGCTTGCATTGGGAGCCCGCTGGTTTGAATCTTTTTTTAAACATACTGTGTTTGCAAGTACTGTGTGTTGCAAGTCTCAGCTGGGGTTGTATGGAAGGCTGAATTGGCTTCCGGGTGGTGGGGGGTGGGCGCTGTGTTCTGCTCTCACCCTCTACTTCCAGTGCATGTCAAGTGGGTGAAGAAAAGTCAGGCTTGGCTAGGAAGGCCTTCATCCTGGCAACCACATGCACATGTCATGTCCCAAACTATATACTGTAGCCCAAGATATCCCTAACCGAAATCTGCCTAATTTGTGCTTGGAAGAATAACACTTTCTGCTTCCACTGTTTCCTTAGGCAGCCATACATTTACTACTCGCTCAATGAAGTAGTGTTTCCGCAGATTTGTTCTGAGTTTACCCCCATTCAATCGCAGGCCGTGTCCTCTGGATCTACTGTTCAGTACAAGATAAAACAGCTTATGGTAGCTTATAGATAAAACAGATTACCTAGTCCTTTCAGAATCTTAAAGACTGTAATCATAACGTCCCTAAACCTTCTCCTCCAGTGTGAACCTAAACCTAGTTTACCTAATCGCTCCTTGTAGTCCATTCCCTTCATCCCCTCAATCATTTTAGTTGCCCTCCTCTGTATCCTTTCATTTGCTGCAATATCCTTTTTTATATTGTGGTGACCAGAACTGCACACAGTTTTCCAAGTGCAGTCGCACCAATGATTTATAAAGTGGCAGGATTACTCCACTATTTTGGCTCAATATTGGCTTTAAGACAACAGCCCAGCATCTGGTTTGCCTTATTCATTGCTACTGAGCACTGTCCTCCTCGGTCACTCTTCTCCACAGCTCCATCTCTTCCACTGTTAATTCCTTCACTCCCCCCTCTTCCGTCTCCTACTCATGCAAATCACCTTGGTACACCAGCCACCTCCATTCCCTTAAAGCCCAGGTGTGTTCCACTGAGCACACCTGGCTTAAATCAAACCTAACTGTCCATCGGCAGATTTGGCTGGACCATGTCAAATCCTACTGCTCCTCCCTCACCTCTGCCAAAACATCGTTCTACTCCAAGACAACCTTAGAGACTAAGGACAACCCCAGGCTCCTCTTCTCCATCACGAACCAGCTCCTCTGTCCACCCTCTCACACCTCACCTGTCCTCACCTCAAATGCCAACTGCGAGGCAATGCTGGACTTCCTTGAATCCAAAGTCAAGGGAATCCGCTCATGCCTCTGCCAGCTCATCTGCTATCCCCTCCCCTGCTTCCCTCTCTGCCCTCCCCCCCTCCCCCACCCCAACCCTCAGCTCGGGTCCGTAACGCTGTCTGTCCAGTGCCTTGGGACTTCTTCCCGACGTGAAAGGCGCTGTATAAATGTAATTTTGTTGTTGTTTTTGTTGTCTTCCCTTCCTCTCTCATCACCACTAATAACCCATATGAAACCCACCACCTGCTCCCTTGACCCCATCCCTATCCCTCTCCTTATCTCCCAGCTCCACCTCCATCTACTTACTGACATTGTCAACCTCTCCCTGTCCTCTGGTACGGTTCCCACCCATTAAAAAAGCTGCCATCACTCCTATCCTTAAAAAACCCTCCCTGGACCCTTCTCTACTCCCTAACTACTGCCCCATCTCCAACCTCCCCTTCCTCTCCAAGGTCCTGGAACGAGTTGTTGCTTCTCAGCTTTGCTTCTTCTCCTGCCACTCCCTTCTCGAACCCCTCCAATCGGGCTTCCGTGCTGCCCACAGCACAGAAACAGACCTGGTCAAAGTGACAAATGACATTCTGTCCAGCTGCGACTAGGGCTCCCTCTGCCTTCTGGTCCTCCTTGACCTGTCTGCTGCTTTTGACACCGTCGACCAATATCCTCATCCACCGCCTCTCCTCTCACCTCAACCTCCACAGCGCTGGCCTTGATTGGTTCAGATTCTACCTGTCACACCGCCTGCACTTCTTCTCCTCAAACGGCTTCTCCTCTAGCTCCTGGACTGTCTCGTGGGGCGTTCCTCAGGGCTCTGTCCTTGGTCCCCTCCTCTTCAATATCTATATGCTCCTTCTTGGTGACATTCACAGACATGGGGTCAACTTCCACATGTATGTGGATGACACCCAACTCTACCTCTCTGCCTCCACCCTTGACACCAGGACCACTGCTGCGCTGACAGAATGTGTGTCAGACATCAAGTCCTGGATGAGAGCTAACTTTCTTCAGTTGAACGTCAACAAGACCGAGACTCCCCTGACTGGCTCCCGTCAGCGCCTCCTTACCTCAGGCACTGACAGCATCACCATCCATCTTGCTAAGCCAGTCCGGAACCTTGGGGTCTTGTTTGACCCTCAACTATCCTTTGTACTCCACATCTGCGCCATGACCCGCTCTGCCTTCCCCCACCTCCGCAACGTCACCCGGCTCCAACACTCTCACACCGCAGGCCACCGAAACCCTCATACATGTCTTCATTACATCGAGGCTCGACTATGCAAACTCACTGCTTGTCAGCCTCCCCAACTCCTCCCCCCATAGCTGCAGATCATCCAGAACTCTGCAGCCCGTATCCTCTCTTGCACTAGGCTCCATGACCCTATCACCCCCATCCTCACCCAACTCCACTGGCTTCCCATCACACAGAGGATACAGTTCAAGATGCTGGTCCTCACCTTCAAAGCCCTCCACAGTTTTGCTCCCACCCTACCTCTCTGACCTCCTAAACCCCTACCACCCTGTTCGCTCTGCTCAGCGGGCTCCGGCCTGCTTCATGTCCCCCATCTTGCTTGCCCCACTATTGGTGGATGGGTCTTTCGCCATTCTGCACCCACCTTATGGAACTCCATCCCACAGTTTCTGCGTCTCGCTCCCTCCCTCGCCACCTTCAAGACCCACCTCAAGACCCTTCTCTTCGACTGTGCTTTCGATCTCCTTACTTCCCACCCTGCCCTCCACCCTCCCCCACTCCAACCCCCAGCTCGCGTCCATAACTCTGTCCAGCACCCTGGGATGACCTCCCAACGTGAAAGGGGCTATACAAATATAATTTTGTTGTTGTTGTTGAGATAGCTTCAATTTATTGTCAATCAGGATCCTCAGATCCTTTTCATTTTCCTTACATATTATTTTCTTTCCATTTAAATAATAATCTTTTCCTGGATTTTCTGTCCCCATGTGAAGCACTTTGCATTTCTCTATATTGAATTTCATCTGCCATCAGTCTGCCCAATTCCCAAGTATGTTCAAATCTCCTGTAACCTATCCTGGTCATCTTTGCAGTCTACCAGCTTCATTAGTTTTGTTTATCTCTTGTTTTGCTTAATAGAATTTCAGCTAGTTGAAGGGGTTGATTAAAAAAAGTTTATACAAAAAGTGTGAAAATATAATACAGACTGCCTCGATATGCTATAGATACCGCTTCGGTTGAGACTTTCAATACATAAATAATTCTTAAAGATATAAATATTTAAAGGATACAGTGAACAGATGGAACATTACATTAAAGAAACTTGACAATGACAGAGAAGCCTGTATAGGTAAATGACGTTTCTCTTTATCTCTGATTTGCCTTAATAGAATTAACTTTTCCCTTGCAGGTGAACGATATGTCATGACCTTCCTAAATGTGTTAAATTTTGGAGACCAAGGTACTGTTTTTAACCTCATGGTGCATTTCATTCTGGATAATCAAGGGTTCCTGGGGGATATGAGGATCTCCTTGGAGTTAAACTGCTCCAAAGTGACATACTTGGCAACGGAAAGTTAGACTCAAACCAAAAGCTTTAACTTAACGGGTAGAATGATCCTAGCTGTAGAAGTAGTGCAAACTGCTAGATATTTCAATAGCAAGCTCTGTATTTTTAGCTGGTTAAACTGCAGCAGTTACCCCAAAGCACACTGTGGGGTCCCAAATCCTTGCCTCTTACCAACATTTGCCTAATTAGGTAAGCAGGATGCGTTCCTCCAGGGAGAGTATGTATTCCATTCCAATACACTGGAATTTCAATGTATAGGTGGGATGCATGAAACTCATGGTGTTCAGGAGTTGACCTTATTGCAGTTTGTGTGACTTTGCTAGCACACTTACCAGAGCACATCGATTAACAGTACACTGTTTGTGAAGAGTTTGAGATGTTCTAATGTGATAAGTTCCTATATATAAAACAATTCTTTCTAATGATTTGCTTTTCTGTGCAGGTGTATATGACATTGTGAATAACCTTGGCTCCTTGGTAGCCAGATTTGTTTTTCTACCCATTGAGGAGAGTTTTTACATTTTCTTTGCCAAAGTGCTTGAAAGAGGGAAGGGTTCAGTGATGCAGAAGCAGGTAAGCTTGAACTGTTGCTAGAATTCATTTGTGCCTTTGCCACAAATGTTTCAGGATTATAGGCTTGCTTAATTTGAACAAAGTGAGATGAATAAAATGTTTGATTTTAAAAAAAAACAGGTATTAGTGGCACGGTCATGATGGTTCTGTGCTGAAAATTCCTGTGTGTTTGTGCTTGTAATGAGTTACCAGTAAAAATCTGCCAGCATGAAAATTAAAAGCGACTTAGCAGCATTTCAGTTCATTCCCAGATGTTCAATATTAAGTAAACATGGTAACATAGACATTTTCTGCACATAGGAGGCAATTCAGCCAATAGTATTTGCCACTACTGCCTACTTTTTAAAATCATTGCTTTATTAATCCCACTTTCCAGCTCTCCCTACGTCCCTTATTCACCCAGTTATTTACCTTGGATATTTACCTCGTTCCTTTTTGAACGAACAATTCTATTTATTAAACTTTCTGCTAACAATCCTAACTATGACGCCTTGCTTCCTCCCTTTCCTCCTTCAAGGCCGGTCTCAAAACCTTTCTCTTTGACCGTGCCTTCAGCTCCCCTCTCGACTCTCTTCCCCCTCCTCGCTCCCTCCCTTCCCTCCCCTCACCCTGACCATTTCCCCCTCCTTGCTCCCTCCCTTCCCTCACCCTGACCATTTCCCCCTCCTCGCTCCCTCCCTTCCCTCCCCTCACCCTGACCATTTCCCCCCTGCTCGGGTCATGACCCAACTGTGCAGCGCCTTGGGACGTCCTCCTGACGTGAAAGGCGCTTTATAAATGGAATCTTGTTGTTGTTGTTGTTGTTGCCATTGATTCCCCAAAGAAAGGATATTTTCCCCCTACCTGCCTCTTACGTATCTTAAAAACCTGCACAAATGTATTCAACTGGGGCCAAATATCCTATATTAGCGGTGCAACAGGTGGCCTTCAACTCTTACCAAAACCACTCCCCTCAATCCCTCTCATCCAATCAGCTGCACAGTTTACTATCTGCACAGCGGTTGCTAAGGACGTTGCTAAGGACGCGCTTGCCCTCCTGACAGACTGAGGTAATGGTCGGTATTATTTCCACTCTCCGCGCTGCGTGCTCTCAACCGCTGCCGCTGCCCTGGGAGGACGTTTACCTGGGAGGGAGGGTGCACAAGTTGAAATGTTGGAAATGGTTGCTGGGCCGGATTTGGACCATGGAGCTTTCTCAAATAGGGAATCCGGGCCGCGGCAGCCAAGAGGTTGGACCACCCTGTTTGTATAATTACAACACTCTTGGTTTATAAAGCCAACAATCCTGTTTGCCTTCTTGATAGCTTTCTGTACTGGAAGATTGTTCAATTAATCCCACTTTCCAGCTCTCACTACTTCCCTTAATGTTTTATTGCTCAGATATAAATTTTCTGTTAACAATCCTGAACCATGCCACCAGGCATTGATACCAGGCATTGAAAGGAATGTTTTCCCCTTGTGAGTATGTTAAAAACCTGCTCATGGGATAAAGCCCCTTCTTAACCATAATCTGACTTAATATATACTGTATCATATTAACCCATCGTATGGTTGACAAGTGCTACTCCAGGTGAAGGGCATTATACCCTTAATAATAATAATAATGAATTAGTTCTTGCATTTGATACAGTGCCTTATCTCAGAAGCCAGACATGCCATACTAACATTCTAATAAGGTGCTGGGATGCGCTGCATTGTCAGAGCTGCTGTCCTTCAGACGAGATGTTAAACTGAAACTTTGTCTGCCTGTTCAGATGGACTTTAAAGATCCCATGGCAGACTCGAAAAGAGAAAGGAGTTTCTCCCGGTGTCCTGTCCAACAATTCCCCAAAATTTACTCCATGGATGTTTGTGGAACATTGTTTTGTGCAAATTGGCTGCTGCGTTCACACACTTTACAGTATATCCTCCCACCTATATCCTCCTACCTAAACCTTCAAGGCCCTGTCCTTGAGTGGTTTAGGTCGTACCTCTCCCACCGTCTTCACTTTGTCTCCACTAATGGTTTTTCCTCCGGCCCCCGCACTGTCTCGTGCGGTGTCCCTCAGGGCTCTGTCCTCGGTCCCCTCCTCTTCACCCTCTACATGCTCCCCATTGGTGACATCATCCGCAGACATGGGGTTAACTTCCACATGTATGCGGATGACACCCAACTCTACCTTTCCTCCTCTACCCTCAACTCCACGACCACCGATGTCCTGACAGCTGCCTGTCCGACATCGAGACCTGGACGAGAGATAACTTTCTCCAGCGCAACGTGCGCAAAACTGAGGCCCTCCTGATTGGCTCACGTCAGCGCCTCCGCACCTCAGGCGCTGACGGCATCAGCATCCAAGGCTGCACTCTCCACCTCTCAAAGCCAGTCAGGAACCTCGGTGTTCTGTTCGACCCTGAGCTGTCCTTTCTCCCTCATATCCGCGCCACAACTGGCACCGCCTTCCATCACCTCCGGAACGTCGCCAGACTACGGCACTACCTCACCCCTCACGCTGCTGAAACTCTGGTCCACGCCTTTATCACTTCAAGGCTGGACTATGGAAACTCTCTCCTCGCCGGCCTTCCCGGCACCTCCCTCCACACTGCAGGTCATTCAGAACTCTGCAGCTCATGTACTGTCCCGCACCAGGCTTCGCGACCACATCACTCCTACCCTCGCTCGCCTCCACTGGCTCCCCATCCCCCAGAGGATCGAATTCAAGATCCTCACCCTCACCTACAAGGCCATTCACGGTCTCGCTCCCTCCTACCTCTCTGACCTACTATCCCCCTACCTACCTGCCCGTACCCTCCGTTCCTCTGGCTCCGGTCTGCTCCACATCCCCCGCCCCAACCGCCCTACCATCGGTGGCCGGGCCTTCAGCCTTTCAGCCCCGAGGCTCTGGAACTCTATCCCCCAGTGCCTTCGCCACTTCCTCCCTTTCCTCCTTCAAGGCCGGTCTCAAGACCTTTCTCTTTGACCGTGCCTTCAGCTCCCCTCTCGACTCTCTACCCCCTCCTCGCTCCCTCCCTTCCCTCCCCTCACCTTGACCATTTCCCCCTTGCTCGGGTCCCGACCCAACTGTACAGCGCCTTGGGACGTCCTCCCGACGTGAAAGGCGCTCAATAAATGGAATCTTGTTGTTGTTGTTGTATATCGCGAAGCGCTTGAGAAGTCTTGACAACATGATAAGGCACATCAACAAATTAAACGATTATTATTCCTATTGACAATGTCTTTTTTTTTGTTTAAACATCCCAATTGATTCCACTGATGCAGGTGTCTGGGCTAAAGCAATCCACTTATTTGTTCACAATCCTCTGTGTGAAGAAATATTTCCTGATCTCAGTACAAACAGATTTGGTTCTGATTTTAAGGCTGTGTCCCTTCTAATGGATCGCTCTATAAAAGGGAACAGTATTCTATCTGTTAATTCCTTTCATTGCTTTAAATACATTTGTGTCTTTGTTCCTGTTCATTTTCCATGTTTTAATCCCCCAAAAAATTTGACGTGTTATGATAAAATGAATGAAAATTAAACTAAATATTGAAGGTTTAATTGGTCCTCAATTATTAGCCAGCAATTTACATCAAAACAATTTATCCTCCTTAAAGTGCTATTGGAGTGGAATCTGAAGGCCATCTACATTCCAACCTTCTAGCTTTAGTTAGGAACGGAAGTGCAAGCTTTGAAGATCTGCTGTGGGGGAAGTTTGTGTTAGGACAGGTGTGTTCTTTGTATTTCTTAGCCATGATCGTGTATCCTGGTAGAATTTAGAGCCCATTCAAAAGCTGGAGAATATGACTAGATATCTGGGGCCTGAAAAAATATATGCTGAAATTGTGAAGTGTTTCTCTCACTTTTACAGAGAAAACTGCCTAGCAGCCAAGTGCTGGATTTTCCACTGTTTACTGTACATTGTGTGAAATCTTTTTTCTGACATTGTACGGTAAAAATCAGGACATCAGTTATTGAATTCAGCTCGCTTTACAAAGAACAGCTTCAGGGTGCAACCTGAAATCCTCGATTCATATTTCAAGTTCCTAAGACCAATATTTTGAATCCCTTCATTTGTGTCTTGCTTTGTCTCCAGGAGGACGTTGATCTGGCAGCAGGAGTTCTGGAGGTCCTCCTCAGGCTGGTCCTGCTAATTGGCCTGAGCGTCACTGTCTTTGGCTATAGCTACTCCCAATTGGCTCTCGATATCTATGGTGGTTCACTGCTCAGCTCTGGCTCAGGTATTGCTCTCTTCATCTTGAGGATCTAAGTTTTTTCTTATTGTCCCACAGAAGGTAATTTATGCAGCTGAAGATTGAGTTGAAAATTTCTCTAAAAATAGGGATTTAAAACTGCATTGCATTTTAGGAATATTTTTCTTCCATTTCTTCTTTCATTCTTCGTTCCATTGTTAAGAGTTTTAAAGCTAATTGATTTATTAGCAGTAAGAATATGGCCACAATGTACCCATTATGATTTTTATGTCTAATTTCAGTTTATCACTGGTAGTTCCTTCGCTCTTTAAGCAGATGACCTTCTCCAATGGCACCTAAAAAAGGTTTCTATTGAGCCTTTCCACAGGTACAAGTGATAGCTGATACCTAGATCAGAGAATACAAGACTAGGCTAGTATTGAGGTTTCACAGTCTCACCTTTATACCTGTGGGATAGGAAGGACAACTGTGGCTGGAACCAGGACTACAATGCTCATAGCAACAACAACAATAAACTTCATTTATGTAGTGCCGTTGGGAGGACGTCTGAAGGCGTTGGACAGTTAAGGGTTTGCACCTGAAACGGGTTGGATTAAGAGGCATGGGGAGCAAGGGGTGGGGATGGCAAGACGATTGAAGACCCAGACAAAGAAGAATGTCTTCAGATGGGCCCTGAAGGAGGCAAGGGAGAGGCGTAGTGAAGAGAATGTAGTTCCAAGTTGGGGGCATACTGCTGATGGTGGGGTGCCCCGGGTGGGGAACATGGAGCAGGCAGGTCCCTGTCGAGCAGAGGGAGTGGGTGGGTTGGTAAGGTTTCAGCAGGTTGCAGGGTTAGGGAGGCCCAAAATCCTGGGGGGCTTTAAAAGTGAGGTTCTTGAACTGGGGAGCCAGTGGAGGCAGACGAGGATGGAGATGATAAACTCGTGGAGCCTGGAGCGGGAGAGGCACAAGCTGCAGAATTCTGAATAACCTTCAGCTTATCAAGGAAAGAGTTAGGAAGTCTGCTGAGCAGGGAGTTAGAATAATCGAGCCTGGGTGTGATTAATGCATGGATAAGGATCTTGGGGCCCGAGGAGAGAGGTGGTGGTGGATGTGGGGAATATTGCGGATGTGGGGGATGTCTGAACAGATATGGTGTTTAAAGGACAGTTCAGAGTCGAACACAGCACCGAGGTTACGTACAGTTAGGTGAAGAGTGCATCCATGTAGATTGATGCTGTCAGAGACTGAAGTGAGAAGGCACTGATGGGAGCCATAAGGAGGGCCTCTGCCTTGTTAGCTCTGACAGACATTCTGTCAGGACAGCTTTGATCCTGAAGTTGAGGGTGGAGGCAGCGAGATAGAATTGGGTGTCATCCACATACATATAGAAGTTAACCCCAGGAGCATGTAAAGAGGAGAGGTGCGAGGATAGAGCCCTGAGGAATGCTGCATGTGATGGTGTGGGGACTAGAGGGGAAGCCGTTAACAGATACAAAGTGGAGACGATGGGAAAGGTAAGATTGAAATCAGGTCATAAAGGTGGAGAGTAGTCAACAGTGTCGAAGGTGACAGAGAGATCAAGGAGCTCGAAAAGGCAGAGAGAGCCCAGGTGAAAATGTCATTTTGACTTTGGGATGATACAGGCAAGAGAGAGAATGGAGTCTGCTTGGGGGGTAGTGGGAGCACGGGGGAGTTGATGTGTGGTGGAAAACAGAAGCTTGGTTGTTTTGGGCCTTCAGGATGGCCTGGGAGGAGAATGCGGTTTTGGCTTGTGTGTGGGAGAAGGCGGTAAGTTCAAGCCAGATCTGGCGATGATCCATGAGGCCAGCTTTGTGCCAGCTGCACTCAAGCACCTGCAATTAGGATTTAAAGTAACAGACAATTTGGACCCAGAAAAATCCCACAAACAGCCCTGAAGTGAATGATCAATTTTAAGCAATTTTATTTGGGGGATTATTGACTAGGACACCAGGACGGCAATGCCACGGGATCTTTAATGTCCACCTACACAGGCAGACGACCTCGGTTTAACATTTCATCCGAAGGACAGCACCTCCAACAATGCAGTACACCCCCAATGCTGCATTGGAGTGTCTGCTTAGGCCAAGAGGAGGTCCTACGTTTTGGCAGGTGAGGGCGGATGCCAGATTTGAGCTGTGGGCCGCATAAGCAACATGTTAGTGTTTTCCTTCTAGAAACATAACCCATAAGAATCATATAGAAATCCAATGTTTTAAGTGTAACTATATTACTTAATTTCACTATACTTTAGTAAATGCAATGCAAACTTTAAATACAATGTTGAAATTTATACAAATTTTAAAACAATAATATCTGTCTGTGTCTCTCTCTGTATTTACATTATCCCTGTATCTGTCTCTTTCTGTCTGTGGTTGTCTTTGTTTTTGTCTGTTTGCGTGTGTCTCTATATCTGTCCCTCTCTATCTGTGTGTGTCTCTATATCTGTCTCTCTCTGTGTGTCTATGTGTGTCTCTGTATCCCTCTCTCTCTTTATCTCTCTTTATCTGTGTATCTGTCACTCTGTAACTGTGAGTCTGCGTGTCTGTGTCTCTCTCTGTATTTACGTTATCCCTGTATACTGTCTCTTTCTGTCTGTGGTTGTCTTTGTTTTTGTCTGTTTGCGTGTATCTCTGTATCTCTCTGTGTGTCTCTGTATCTACCTGACTGCGTTCTCTCTTTATCTCTTTCTATCTCTCTGTCTATGTATCACTGTATGTGTGTATGTGTGTGATTTTCTTTCTGTCTGTATGTGTATCTTTCATGTTACTAGTTTGAAAGTGATTGACAGGTTCTGCTGCTAACCAGCGTCTTGTTTGTAACCCAGGTTAGACTAAGCCTGGGCTCTGGACATACAGTGTGACTATGTTCATGGGGCAGTTAAAATCATTCCCTGGGCCAAATGCAGCTCGCTGGCCGCATGTTGGACTACCCTGGCTTAGACCATGTGAGTTCAAGCCATGTGAGTGGCTTCCACCCACAACCTTCTAACCCAGAGGTGAGAGTGCTTCCACTGAGCCAAGCCATTTAAACCTTCAATAAGGCCGTTCAAATGTATCTATCCCCTTAAAATAACAAAATAACAAGTTGGATTGATAGTGCCCTTCACAAGACATAATGTCTTGGAGACCATGTTGGACCCCAAGAGAGGCTAGGGTTGAAGAGGAGAGCGATGTTGGATCAGGGGATGAGCATTAGTTCTGTGTCCGCTGAGCCAAAGGGACAGCCAATGCAGTGAGGTACAAACATATAAAAACATCCAACAAAGTCCCGGGTGCTGGCTGAGAGAGGGGAATCTAGTGGGCTAATTGTTATTTGTTTGGAAGCAAGTGTTAAGAGATCGACTAGCAGAGGTAGGTTTAGCTGCCTGTTCAACTACACAAGTTGCAAGCACAATGGAAATTTACAAGAATAATGATAAATTCAAAACAACGTAATAATGGAAACTGTAATAATGAAAACACAACAGGTGTTTTCAAACGGATATTGTTTATTTGTTTGAAGTCACTGTTAGGTGACACAAAATGACTGAAAGGAGACAAGATAGTGAACGTATGTGAATGATATTTCCTGGTTTCTGCAGGTCCTACTCTCCTGCGGTGTTACTGCCTGTATGTGCTGCTCCTCGCAACTAATGGAGTGACTGAATGCTTCACCTTTGCTGCTATGAGTAAAGAGGAAGTTGACAGGTGAGGAGTAACACTTTCTAATCATCATTCACAGCTTTCAAACACCTCTCACAGATCCAATCACCTCCCCCACAGCATTGAATTGCAAAGCAGATCCTCTGAATTTCACCAACTGATTGGTTCATTCTTCTTTTTCAAACAATCCTGCAGCCACAGAAAATTTTCCTTTTTTAACCACACATCAAAAACAAAGGATAGTGCAATAAGTTGCGGTTGAGAGATTTTTTGTTTTAAATGTACATTATCAGTGATAATAGCGTGATTATCCAGTTTATAGCTTTGCTGTGCTCCTAGTGTGGACTGCCTGAGGGGAGAGGTGTGCTTCCCGTGTTACTATTTGGAGCAACAGTGTTGTACTACTGATTTTGAAATGTTAACACTATTAATCTGTTAGTAATGATTTTCTTCATAATAATAATCTTTGCATTTGATATAGAGTCTTATCACATCATTGTGACATCTCAAAACGCTACACGGAATATTGACAGAATTTTGTGGCTGAAATGTGGCAGCCAATCTCACATAAGTGTCCAACAAATAGTCGTGGATTCAGTGACCAAATTATTTTTTGTGAGGGATTATAACCCCTAGAAAGTGATCTCCCAATCAACTAACTCCTGGGTTCCTACTTATTGTTAGGTAAACAGAGGCTTGTGGAGTAAGGAACATGTCTAAGTTTCGCCCTACCCGGGAATTGAACCCGGGTCCTCTCGCTTGCTATGAGAGACTACGCTATGGGACTCCACATGAATGAACAATACCAACCAGCCACCAATGTGATCGATATTCAAGCGCTCTGAGATGACACCCTGTGTGGAGGGTGGTATATAAATGCAAGTTGTTGTTGTACCTTAGGACTCTTTATACTACTGGCTTGGCCTGCTTCCTCAAAACTCTTAACACTCACTATTACCTGTCCTTGAGACAGCATATGATTTCCAGATATTCGTTATCGTCCTGCATTCTTGCTACATGCTGTCGGAGCTGTTATCTCCAGTACAGTTTATTATTACTTTTTCTCTATTTCCCTATATCCCCTACCGTTCTCAAATTTGACTCCCAAGTCTGTAAAAGAACATTGAGACATTATGTTTGTGAAAGGTGTAATATATGTCGTTATTTGACAACCACTATTTTTATTTTCTTGCTGCCAACTAACTTGTAGCAGTGAATTTCAGAGGTATAAAATACTTGATATAACGTAACATCTGTTTTTTTTGAAGGTACAATTTCATCATGTTGGTTTTATCCATTTCCTTTCTGTGTATCTCGTATTTCCTAACCTGGTGGCATGGTGCTGTTGGATTTATTTTGGCCAACTGCATGAATATGGGTCTCCGAATTGCACACAGTGTTCACTACATCGCCTGTTATTTCAAGCTGAGCTCCAATCGGCCACTGTTGGCTCTGCGACCATCTTGGCGATTACTTCTAGTTTACCTTGGCTGCGGCATCATCACAGTGCTATCAGAGGTATGGATTGTGCTCGAAACACTCTTACATCCAGCTGTTCTAGATGACAAATTAAGTAAACTGATACTTCTGATAGAGAGCTGTGAAAGAGATCTGTTAACTTTACCTTTAATCCAACATTTAATACCAGTGTATTTGATCTTTCATATCTCTCTGTTCCTTCTTCATTGAGAATTTTGTCATTTTGGGTATATTTCTATATTTGGAAAAAAACAGAAAATTATGGTCCCCAGCCTCCTCCCAATGGAGTGGAGATGCACAGATACTAGTTGCCCTCCAGTATCTCACTGAAGTGGCTGTTAATGTGTGAACTTTGGCATGAATATTAGACCACTTTGTAGAGGGCTAAGCCTACATCATCTCATTTTGTTCACTCGGCTGCCACATGCATTCACTAGGGGCAGGAAATCAAACTGATTTTAACCCTCGTAACTCAAGGAAGGTAAGGGCCAATTTAGTCTCTCATGCAGTCTGACTGAGATCCTAAAATCAGCACACATTGGGATTTGAACCAGCGAGCTTCTGGTCCATAGCTACATTACGATATCGGGGCTGCCCCACTTCACATTTTTCTGTATTGAATTCCATTTTACATAAATCTTCCCATTCTGCTAACCTGTTATACATTTTGTTACTTCCTAGTTTAGTATCATCCGGAACATTTGAATATTATTCCCTCCACACCGACATCCAAATCATTGCTCTAAATAATAATCCTTACTTTGGTATAGCAGCTTTCATGTTGGGAGGACATCTCAGAGTACTTCACATGATACACTTGATAGTGCAGCAATTGTATATTTGATGGGCAAACACATCAGCAATTTACACAATTTTATTCAGAGGATTGTTGGTCTTATTCAAAGGATTGTTGACCTCCTGTCTGAAGCACCAGGAGAGAGAAACTCTTCTCTTTTTTGAATGGTGCTATGAGATCTTTAACATTCACTTCAACAGGCAGACGATTTAATGTCTCATCCACGAGATGGCTTCGGGAATAAGATAGATCCCAACATCATTGCCCATGGCACACTACTCCAGTAGTAGCTCAGTGGTCAGAGCACTCGCCTCTCAAGCGAGAGACCTGGGTTTGATTCCCGGCAGGGCAAAACGTTGGGCAAGTTTCCTTATTCCACAAGCCTCTGTTTACTTAACAGTAAGTAAGAATCTGGTTGTTAGTTGATTGGCAGATCTCTTTTCCAGGGGTAATAATTCCTTAAAAAAAATAATAATACATTGGTCACTTCAATTCATGACTGTTTGTGGGACATTGCTGTGGACAATTGGCTGCCGCCATTTCTCCCCCAAAATATACAGTCAATTCACTTTACAGTATAATCTGTGAAGTGCTTTGAGACGTCTCGAAGACATGATAAGGTACTGTATCAAATGCAAGGATCATTATTATTACTCTCCTGTGCCTGTTGTTCAACCATTTCTCTGTTCACTTTGCTACGTTTCCATCAACATCAAATGTTTTGGTCAGAGAGCAAAATATTTGTCAGACACTTGTCACCATGCTTAAAGTGATCCAAACCAGACAGAATTCTACGTGTACATGCTGCTACCTATACATGGAAATATCATGTCAAACGGAATGTGCACTCTTTCCATGGTGTAACCACTGGTTGGTGATTTCACGTTTGCCAAGCACAGATTTAAGCCTTCACCAAGTGTATAGCCAGGTACCCGGCAAGCTTCCTGGTGAGCAACACAGCATGAAATGTGTGAGAGCATTGCCCACAGTTTAAGACACACATCACAATAATCCTTAAATTTTGTGTAGCGCCTTTCACGTCGGGGGATATCTCAATGCTCTTCAACAACAACCTAATTTAGATAGCGCTCTTTGCACAGGGCACAAAATAAATCTTGTGTTGGATTGCTTACAATAGTGTAGTCCATTGCTGAGCCGAGGAGAAAGAGTAGCTGAAAAGATAGGGTGGTCCTAGCTGGACAACAGCGGGAAAGCTTGCCACACAGTGCTTTCAGTGGCAAGATTCTAGCAGTCCCCCAATGCAAATTCTGGGGTCCCCAAGCTTGGCTCTGGCCAACCTGCACCTAATACTGGATTAGGTAAGCCGAATGTATCCTTTCAGGAGAGGGTTTGTGTTCCAAAAAATATTTCAGGAATTTCCACGTGCAGGTGGGATGCATGGAACTCTGATTAGTTTGGATACTGTTATGCATGGTGATTGGTTTCAGCATATGTTAGACACCCAGCTGACCAAAACAAGTAATTTAACATCCACTTAAACAAGCAAACAGGGCCTTGGTTTTAATGTCTCATCCGAAGGATAGTACCTCCAGCAAATCAGCACACTCCAGCACTGTATTGGAATTGCAGCTAAGACTACTAATTCAGATGTATCAGCACGTGATTACAAACCTGGACTTCAGGAAATGCCTTCTACCAATAGATTCTTTCCCAACATGGGGCTTGAGCCCACAACCTTCTGACTCAGAGGCAAAAGTGCTACCAACAAAGCCAAGCTGACACACACACATTCCTACCTACTGAGTGATATTTCTACCAGGTGGAAACCTAGAGCATCAGCAACAACTATCTTTATACCAATTGAGGTAGATACCAAGCCATGGATGTATTCGCACATGCTTATGAATCCAGACTCCAGAAAACTCCTTCCAATATATTTGGTCCCAAACCTCAGTATCCTCTTCAGTTATTTGATGGACAGCGTGACAGAAGGCAGTTTGTCTCAATCTCACATATTTAAGGTAAATTCAGATAAATAAAAGGTTTTTTCGTCCTTCAAATAAGATCTTAAACCTAGGTCCTGCCTGATTAGGTGGGTATTAAATATCCCATGGCACTATTTGAAAAAAAAGGGAGTTTCTCCTAGAGCCTTGGCCAACAATCCTCCGGATAATATTGGTCATTCACTTAATTTTCTGTCTTTTTTTGTCTTATTTGTATAATGCCTTTCACATCAGGAGGATGTCCCAAAGTGCTGGACAGTCAGGGATCTGCACCCGAGCTAGTGGTTGAGATCAGGAGGGGTGGGGGGATGGGGAAGGTAGGGGTTGGAGGGTGACCGAATGCAAAGGTTGAGGAGGTTCTCAAGACGGGTCTTGAAGAAGGCAAGAGAGGGCAAGACGGGGTGGATTGTGGGATGAAGTTCCAAAGTGTGGGGGTAGAGAGGCAGAAGGCCCGCCCGCCAACGGTGGGGCAGGCAAGGCGAGGGGCGTGAAACAGGCCAGAGCCCGCTGAGAGGATGGAGAGGACAGTTTGGTTACTGGTTACAGTTACAGTTACAGTTATTGGTTACAGCCAGGGTCACAAAGATATCTTGAACTGGAACTTTTCCTGCGATTCCTCCACAGTCACCCAATTCCCTGTCACTACCTCACTGGTGCTGACCTTCTGTGGGCTGACCAAATATTGGAGCATTGGTTCCAGAAAATAATCCCCTTCATGAATGCTGAATGAATGTGTTCAGTTGGTCTTCAATGTCAGCAATTTTGAGCTTGAGGTACAGTTTTCTCACACCTCATTCAGTTGTAGCTAAATGTAAGGCTAATTATAGTTGTCCTGGGAATACTGGTTACCAAGAGTGATCCACATCATGAAATTCAAACACATCATAAGCCCTACTATGTCTTTTTGGCTTGCCCTGTGGTTCCTGGACTTATCCTAACGCCAGTTGCAGCAGACGCAGCTTTCATCATTGCTGAAGTCCACATTGCTTTTGTTTCCACTAATAAGTACAAGTTGTTGATTCAAGCTTTGAGTAACTGGGTTTCTTCTGTCCACAGGAGACATTGTGCTGTGCCAAAGGCTGGCTGTACAGACTGTTGCACATCGCTATTGGGGCTGGCTGTTTCGTGACATTGCTTCTTATAGTATTCTTCACAGAGACTAGACTTGTCCATTTTATTAGGACTCAGTTCTTGTCTGGGTACAAAAAAGAAACATAGATGCTGGAGGATATCTTGCAGTCATTTTTATTATTGGAGAACCATATCATTAACAGTAAAAGAATTCTGGTGAAAGCTTGACGAAGTATGTCATGTTGTTTGTCACTAAATATAGATGCAAGAAGAAAATTCTGTGTCTGATACATGCAGAAACCCATCACCATCCTTAAGAGTATTGAAACCAAACAGAGTTCCATGCATCCCACCTACACATCAAAATTCCCATGTATTGGAATGCACACTCTGTCCATGAAGTAAATGACGGTATAAAGAAGTATAAAGCACAGCCAGGTGAGGAGCCATTCAGACGGGAGCAGAGTCAGGAGAGCGCAGGGCGGAGCCGAGGCCTAGCTGCGTGTATAAAGCACAGCCAGGTGAAGAGCCACTCAGACGGGAGCAGAGTCAGGAGTGCAAGGTAGGTGAGGGGAGGGAGCGCGATTCACAAAGTGACAGCGTGACGTCACAGTTAACAAACCAGCCACAACAACAACAACAATGTCCTGGCAGCCCCGTCACTGCCTCCCAGCCATGACCACACAGCCTAAGGGCTGATGCTGTCCCGCTGATTGCTCGCTCCCGGTCTCTGAGTGCGCGTTTTGGCTGCCGCCCTGACTAGAGCCTCCCCATCCACTCTCAATGTCTCTCCTCACACCCCCTTCTATCCGCTACTCCCCCACTGTCCTTGTCTCCCACCGCCCTCCCCGCCTTCTCTCTCTCCTCGACCCCATCACCACTTCCCTCTGCTCCAGCCTGGGCATCCTCTGCATCAGGGCTCCCGGCACTGGCTGTCCCAGAGCAGCAACCCCACGTGTCTCATCACTCACTCCCTCCACTCAAACCGCGTACTTAAGGCAAACCCAACTTTCCCGTCCCTCATACGTACCCTCCCCAACTCTTCACTCCCACCACTCTCCACAACCATCTATCCTGTACACCCAAAAATCCTTTCCGGATCACTCTCTCCTCCCTCCCCTCCCTCCAGCAAACCCATCCGCATTTCCCTCCAAAACGTCCGTTCCCTCTCAAATAAAGCCCTCACCATCCATGACCTCATCCTGGACAAGCACCTTGACATTCTTGGGCTCACCGAAACCTGGCTCTCCCCCAATTATCCCGTCACCCTAGTGGAAGCCTCCCCTCCAGGCTACACCTTCCCCCCCCCCCCCCCCACTCACCCGTCCAAACCAGAGTGGCGGCGGGGTGGCCTTCATTTCCAAAGTCTCCCATGGTCCTAACCCCTACTCTTGGTGCTTCCCCTCCTTCGAGCACCTCACCCTCTTCCACCCCTCTCTCCCAATGAAAATCCTCCTTGTCTACCGCTAAGCCCCCCGGCTCCTTCCACACAAACATCTCTCTTCCCTGTCCCTCTGCTCCGGGCGCCTGCTCATAATGGGCAATTTCAACCTCCACCTAAACTCCCCTTACACTGCTTCTGCCAGCTTTACTGCCCTCCTCTCCTCCCTAAACCTCACCCTTCATATAAATTCTCCTACCCACAACCGTGGTCATGCCCCTTGACCTCATTATCACCCACGGCCTTGACATTTCTGACCTCAGCATAGTGGACAAGGCCATCTCGGACCACTTCATCATTTCCTTCTCTCACATCCCTCTCTCTTCCACTAAGCCCTCAACCATCCTCTACTACCCTTGGAAAAGGCTACCTACCTACTGAGACCCTCAAAAGACCCTCGCATCATCAAACATCCTATCCCTCTGGCCTTCCACCCACGAAAATCCTGAAGCAGCCATCCAGCTGCTCCATGATCGCCTCTCCTCCACCTTCAACTCCCTCGTCCCCCTGAAATCCAAACCCACCCGATCCCCCTGGTACAACAACCATCTCCGCCACCAGAAACCCAAACCCGGCAGCTCAAGCGCAGAAGGCACAAAACTGGCCTGACAGTCCACCGCCAACTGTGGCTCGAGCATCTCCACAGCTACCACCGTTCTTTGACGCACGCAAAAATTACCTTCTACTCCAACATCATCTTGGAGGCTAAACACAACCCTAAAATCCTTTTTTTCAACCACCCACTGCCTCCTCCATGCCCCCCCTCAGGCCTCCTCAATCTTCATATCAAATGCCAAGTGCGAGGAAGTCATGGACTTCCTTTCATCTAAAATTCACAAAATCTGCCAGGCAGCCTCATCCACCTGCCTCTTGTCACCCACCACAATGTCCTCTCTGTCCCCCGTACCCTCCCCATCATCTGCTCCTAAGACCACCCCCATCCTTCATTCCTTCCTCCCCATCTTTCCTTCCTCCCTTTCACCCACCATCACCTCCATTAAACCCACCAACCCCCACGAGCCCCTCCCCACCAACTTGCTGGTCACAGCTCCCCCTCTGTCCACTACCGGCTGACGTCATCAACCAATCCCTGCCCCCCTCAAAACTGCTGTCATCACCCCACTCCTCAAAAAACCTTCCCTAGATTCCTCAAACCCCAGCCACTACCGCCCCATTTCTAACCTGCCCTTCCTCGTCCTGAAACATGTTGTTGCCAATCAACTTCGCGCGCACCTCTCCCATTCCCTCTTCGAACCCCTCCAGTCCGGTTTCCGCCCTGCCCAGAGTACAGAGACTGCGCTTGTGAAAGTCACAAACAACATTCTCTCTATCTGTGACCAGGGTTCCCTCTGCCTCATTGTCCTTCTGGACCTATCCACCGCGTTCGACACAGTCGATCACGTCATCCTCCTCCACCGCCTTTCCTCTGTCATCCACCTCAGTGGGACTGCACTCGCCTGGTTCAAGTACTACCTCACAAACCGCCAGCAGTACATCTGCACAAACAGCTTCTCCTCCTGCTCTCACCCGGTTACTTGTGGGGTATCCCAAGGTTCCATCCTTGGCCCCCTCCTCTTTCTGATCTACATGTTCCCTCTTGGAGATGTCATTCGCAGACATGGGGTATACTTCCACATGTACACGGACGACACCCAACTCTATTTTTCCACCTCTCTTTGCGACCCCCAGTCCCCTGATGTTCTGTCAGCCTGCCTGTCAGATCTCAGGGGCTGGATGAGCGAAAATTTCCTTCAGCTGAATGTTGAAGACAGAAGCCATACTCTTTGACTCTCGTCAACGTCTAAAATCTCACTGCTCTCATCTCCTCCACCTACCCGACCTCCCACTAAAACTCTCCGAACCCATACGCAACCTAGGCAACAGGTTCGATCCCCAATTATCCTTCCTCCCCCACATCCGGTCCCTCACCAGCACTGCCTTCTTCCACCTCCGACACATCGCCCGTCCCCACCAATACCCCTCTCCAAAAGCCGCTGAAACTCTGGTCCATGCCTTTGTCACCTCTCAGCTGGACTGTTCTAAAGCCCTCCTCGGCGGTCTCCCATCCACTACCATCCATAAAATCCAAATCATTCAAAACTCTGCCGCCCGCATTCTCACCTGCACCAAACTCCGTTCCCCGATCACCCCAGTCCTTGCCAGACTGCACTGGATGCCTGTCCCAGAGAGGATCGAATTCAAGATCCTCACCCTTGTATTCAAACCCCGCCACTCCTCTGCACTCCCCTACATCTCTGACCTCTCTCCTCAAAACAGTACCCGTTGCCTTTGTTCCTCCAGGTCTGGCTTCCTCCTCGTCCCCTGAGTCCTCCGCTCCACCCTCAACGGCTGTGCCTTCAGCCACTATGCCCTGAGGCTCTGGAATTCCTCTCCTCACTCCCTTCGTCTCGACCCCTCTCTTCTATTTTCAGGTCTCTGTTGAAGACCTTTCTCTTCGACCGCGCCTTTGGTCTCCTTCCTCCCCATCCCCCTGGCTCAGCTCCAGGATCCATTAGTGTGAAGTGCTCTGAGACGCCGTCCGGCATGGAGGGGCGCTATATAAATCCAAGTTGTTATTGAAGGGACGCATGCTGCTTACCAAATTCCAGAGAGAATTAGACATAATCAAATAAATCCACTTGCCTTACCATTAAAAGCACCTTGCCATGGCAAGCTTTCCCATTGATTGTTCAAGTATGACCACCCTACCTGTTAGAGGTTTGGCTTGCAGGGTTCACATGAACTAAGTGGGGTGCCCCTCGTGACTTGTCTGCCCCTCCTACTGATGAGCTGGTAGGCTATGGCTGTCATCATCAACTGCAGACCCACCTGGCTCAGGAACCAGTTATAAAATTCCATTGCCATGTCAGCTTGGAGCCAGTTCAGCCCCAAGGAAACCCGTTTGTCTCTCTCTTGAGGAGGATAGTTGGTCGTTTGACATCCGACAAGCACACCCTCAACAACAACAACTTGCTCTTATTATAGCGCCCTCCATGCAGGGTAGCGTCTCAGAGTGTTGAACAGTGGTGGAGCCTGACTCTGAGCTGGTGGGGGGTGGGGGAGAGTTAATCACTATCAAAGAGAAAGGTTTTCAGGCAAGACTTGAAAAACAGGCGAGGGGGTAAGGCAGAGGGATTGATGGAGTGTTCCAGAGTTTCAGGGCATAGTGACCTCCAATGGTGGGGCAGATGGTCCGAGCGATGAGCAGGAGGCCGGTGTCAGTCGAAAGGAGGTGCCGGGCTTGAGGATGGAGTGGAGGAAGAGGTGAGAGCAAAACCGGTTAGCGACAATGCATTCCAGAGCTTTGGCAAGGAACAACAACAACAACAAAATTACATTTGTAAAGCGCCTGTCACGTCGAGAGGACGACCCAAGGCGCTGGACAGAGTTATGGATCCGAGTTGGGGGTCGGGGTGGTGGAGGGCAGGGGGGAAGCACGGAGACCAAAACCACGGTCGAAGAGGAGGGTCTTGAGATGGGTCTTCAAGGTGGCAAGGAAGGGGGCAAGGTGGAGGGACTGCAGGATGGAATTCCAAAAGTGGGCCGAGCACGGCAAGGCAAGGAAGAGCAGGTTGGAAATGGGTCAGTAATTTGTGAGGTTGGAGAGGTCAAGGGTGGGTTTTTTTGAGCAGGGCAGTCATGACAGTAGTTTTAAGGGGGAGAGGAACAACATGAGGAGAGCGATTGGTTGACTGTCGGCCAGCAGCGGGCAGAGGAGGGGGAGTTGGTTCACCAGCAACTCGGTGGGGAGGGAGTCGAGACAACAGGTGGTGGGCCTCATCTGGTTGATGGTGGTTGAGAGGGAAGTGGGAGTAATCGGGGCAAAGGAGTGTAGGGAGGAGGGAGTGGTAGGGAAGGAGGAGGTGGCGGTCTGGGGGGTGCGGAGGGGGATGTAGAGGAGGAGGATGCAAGCAAGGGAATATTTTCAATCTTTGACAGAAAGAAATCTAGGACCTCTTCATAATTGGCAAATGAAATGAGGATGGAAGCAGTTTGGGTGGGGGGTGCACGGAGGAGGTGATAGATGGTGGAGAACTGTGTCTTTGGGTTGTTTTTGGCCTCCAAAAACAACCCAAAGACACTTCATTTCCCAGAACTAAATCCAGCACTGCTTCCTTCCCCGTTGGGCTGGAAACATGCTGATCCAGAAAGTTCTCCTGCACACATTTCAGGAATTCCTCTCCTTCCTTGCCCTTTACACTGTGTGTTTCCCAGTCTATGTTAGGATAATTGAAGTCTCCCATTATCACTACTCTATTGGTTTTGCATCTCTCCGAAATCTGCTTGCAAATGTGCTCATCCATCTTTTTCCCACTATTTGGAGGTCTATAATCAATACCTAACAGAGCTTCTTTTCTGCTCCTTAACTCGAACCAAATAGATTTAGTTTTTGGACCCTCTAACACATGGTCCTTTTCCAGGAGCGTGTCCTTAATGAGTATAACCACCCCTCCTCCTTTTTTCTCTTCCTTATCCCTCCTGAATAGGTTGTAGTCAGGAATATTCAGCTCCCATTCCTGTCCTTGCTTGAACCAAGTCTTCGTAATTGCCACCACATCATAGCCCCATGTGGCAACTTGAGCCACAGCTCACCAAGCTTATTGGTCACCCTCCGTGCATTTACACACATGCACTCCAAGACCGGCTTAATCTGCTCTACATTTCTCCCCTGTCTCTTTCCACTTGTTGCTGGACTATTCCTGGTTTCATTTCTATTTGTCTCTCCTCATCCACTATGTAACTCGTTTCCCCTCCCTGATGCTACATTCTGATCCCCATCCCCCCTCAAAATCAGTTCAAACGCTTGCCCATAGCATTTTTTATCCTTGTTGCAATGACATTGGTCCCAGCCCTGCTCAGGTGTAACCCATCCCTCGTGTACAGGTCCCATCTATCCCAGAAGTGGTTTAGAAACCTAAAGTCCTCCTTCCTGCATCAATTCTCCAACCAGGCATTCATGTGTTTGATCTTCCTGGTTTGGTATTCACTTGCATAAGGCATCCCGAGTTGCATAAGTAATCCCGAGATCACCACCATTGAGGTTCTGCTCTTCAGCTTCTTCCCAAGCTTCTGATATTCTCCCTATAGGGTCTCATATCTTTTATCATCTACATCATGGAGCCCGCCATGGACCACAACTTCCAGATTTTCCCCTTCCCCTGTGGTATATTTTGCACTCTTTCCATGATGTCATGCACCCTGGCAATGCGCGAGTCCCATCTTTTATGGAGGAAATGCTGTATCCCTTTAACTGTTGTATCCCCAATAACAACAGCATTGGCATTTTCCCCCTTATCTCCCTGAACATCCATTACCTTTTGACTCTTCTCGCCAGAGGTGTCCTCACCGGTATCCAGTACTGAGAACCAGTTTGTGAGTGCCACAGTCTTAGGGGATTTCTGTACTGCCTGTTCTTTTTTTTACTCTACGTCAGATGGTCACCCACTCACCCTTCTTCTGAGGCCTCTGTGTAGCTGGGGTGACCTCCTGAAAAGTTCAGTCCATAAATTCTTCAGCCTCCCGTATCCTATGTAGTGACTAGCCTCTCCTCAAGCTCAGCAACCCAGAGTTCAAGCTCAAGCAGCTGGAGGCACTTCCTACACACGTTCCTACACACATGATTGTCCAGAACACATGAACCATCCTGGAGTTCCCACATGGCACACAATGTGCATGGAATGGGTCTCAGCTGCCCTGCCACGTTTTCGGACATGTTTTGTCTCAACAGTTTCAAAGTAAATAGGTAAACCAATGAATTTCACACCTTTTATTCCCTTGCTCACACTCCTTTTATATAAACACCTACCGCCACAGGAATGTGGCCTTTTTGTGCAGGCTCTTGAGGGGTTTGTTTCTCCTTTACAAATTCTCATCTGCACCGAATTCCCACTTTCACTGAATTCCCACTTTCACCTAGTTCCCAAGCAGAATTCTCACTCTGTTCCTCCTCACTCTGTTGCCTCCTCACGCTCTTGGGCTCTCTTCGCAGTATTGTCCTGGAACAGTTCACATTGGTGGAGTCTGACAACAAAGAAAAAAAAATCCAGGGCTTGGAATTCACCTTGATAGGTTACAGAGACGTAAGCAGCTCCTGTTCAAGCTCAGCAACTCCAACAAGTGGAACCATCACTCAGTGGAAAGGGACCTGTACCTGAGCTATGAGCAGGAAGATAGTGGCAATGCTGAGTTGTGCTGCTCACCAAGAAGCTGCCATCCACCTAGTGAAGTTTCAAACCTGTACTTGTCAGATACCAAATTACAAAATAGTGAATATCTTCCTGGGGGGAGGAGTAGAAAGGAAGGAACTTGGCACTTAGAGGAGCAGATTCCTTGGTTGTGTGCTTGGAAATGGAATGTTGGAATTGAGTCGATCCTCTTAGGAGTCTTTGTAGTACAGTTCCTGAGTCACCTGCAGGCATTAAAGGCACTACTTATGACAGACCAGCAGTCTGCCTTGGTGGCAGAACCTAGAGGGGCAGACCTCACTAGGAGCTGCGACTTGCTCTAACAATTTTGGTGGTCCTAGAGCTGATAGCATTTGCATGTGATACAGTGCATTTCACATTGGGAGAATGTCTCTCAGGATTTATTGTGAAGTGTACTGACTGTATTTTGTAGATAAACATGACAGTCAATGTACATACTGAGAATGAGAATTTTTATCTTGGAAATTATTGGCCAGTACACCAGAAGAAACTGATTTTACATTTCAAAATAATGCCATGAGTCCTTTAACATCCACCTGCCACTAGCAGATGTGTGATTTACCATATCTTTTGAAGGATGGCAGCAACAACAATGCAGCACTGCTATAGAGTGTCAGCCTAAACTGTGAGCTCAAAGTCCCAATGTGGGTCTTGAATCCAACAACCTTGTGACTCAGAGACAAGAGAGTCAGTTGATAAACTGAACCATATTAACATCAAAGCTGGTGGGGGTGTTCACAATTGCAAGTTAAGTGGTTTGGGGGTCTGGGACCTTCAGGCCTTGGCTCTGGACAACCTGTGCCTTCTAGAATTAAATAATCAGGGTGCATTTCTCCAAAAAGAGTGCACATTCCATTCCAGACACAGAAGTATCCATGTAATGGTGGCATACATACTTGGAACTTTGTCTGGTTTGAACATTGAAGCAAGTTGATGGGTTTCCTCATGTGTCAGACATCTGGCTGAGCAGAAAGAGAATTATTAAAACTTTAAACTGGCAGTAATTCAGTAACTTTACACTGGATTCTTGCCAACTTAAAGTTGTGTTTTATTTAACTTTTATTACTTTTGGTTTCATACAAATTGAGAACTTTAATCGTCCTTTAAAGCAATTAAAAAGCATGTGTTTGATGCTGAGTATTCGCTCCAATGGTGGTTAGATACCGCTTGAATAGAAACAGCTAATTTGTTCACACTGACTGACCGTTTTAACAACAGATACAGCCCAGAAGTCATCAAGAACCACAATCCAGAAAGTTCTGCCCTGAGTAGAGTCACGCAGGTCTTAAAAGATTTTGAAATGAAATTCCCAGCTTCGTCCCATAGCCAGCACAGTAATTCTATTGGGAAAGAGATCCCGCAAATTAAACTGATTATTTCACTTTATAATTTTAACTACTGGCAAAGATCGGAGGTATGCTCATGACTAACGACCTCATGAAAAGGGCCCACTGTGCAGGATGAGTATGTTTCTTCTTAAGAACTTAATACATTTATATGGATGTAAATTGTAATGCTAAATCGAAGCAAGCTCCTAATAAAGGCAAATACATTAAAAGTCAAACGTGGACCAGTTGCTGGTACTTTATTTGGCAGCAGAGAGTGTATTTATGACTAGGCTGCAGCTGTCTTAATGTATCACCGGTTGGATGGACGCCCAGTGCCGATCATCCCTCGGAATAAACTCTTTGCTAAGATCTATCAAAGGTGAATTACCCAGGGCCTAGAATTAGAAGATTACCAATAACAGACACATTATAAAGTCAACAAAAATAAACTACTCGCTGCTTGTTATCATTAAGGTCTCGAAGCTGCAAATTAAGCCTAATATCTGAGAAGCGTTCCAGATAATGTCGCAGGTAAGAGCCAAACATTTTCAATGTTCAGCTGCTCATTTTAAATGTTGCCCGACTACTGCATTCACAGGGTAAATTCTGTCGTTTCCAGCAAGCACAAATTGTGAAGAAGAAGCGACCAGTAGTGAAAGAGGAAGATCTAAAGGGAGCGCGGAATAAACTAAAAAGTAATATGAAAGTGCAGGGCAAAACCTACCAGGTGTTGCAGCAATGCGGTATGTATGTATATTTACATATGTAAAGAGCAGCTTTCAAGTCTTGTGAACAATCTTTGTTTCATTTTGCTGATCACAGAATATTGCGGAACATTTTTGTGGTCCGGAGCCTAGCTTTGTGAATGTTAATTTCAAGGTAATGTGTTCATTATCCTCTTGTTTGCCAGGCTACATTTTATGTTGTTTTTTAGGCTGTTTTTAATCAGATCAGCTCTTAAGAAAAATATTTGTGTTTGTATTTAACTTTCATTACTCTTTGTTTCTTCCAAATTGTGAAATGTAAACATATCTCACCGTTTCTTAAAATGTAAAGTCACCAAATGTGGAAATCAGTGTATGCGGTTACAGGGTATGCAATTATTTCAACCCACCTTATTTTACTTGTAAAAGTTGGTGTATTGTGAGAACCTAACAAGATAAGAACAGGAGTGGGAAAAAGATGAGGCAGAAATTTTCAAAAAGCATCTTGAGAAATGGTAGTAGAAACAAGAAGAGGGAAACAAACAGGAAATAGATCGAAATGAAATGGGAAGATGTGGAGGAACCCAAAAGGTCAGAGACAGATTGAGACGTATGTATACTAATGCAGAAAGTGTAAGGAGGAAATTAGTGAGCTGGAGGCACAAATTGTTATAGAGAGCTATGATATTGTAACATTATCACAGACCTGGCAACATCCGTGAAAGAACTGGGAACTAAATCTTGTCAGGCGCCAATTTTTTTAGAAGATACAAAGTAGGAAAACAGGGCGGGGGCGGGACTAACAAAGTATTGCAGTGCTGGAACATAGGGTTGATGGGACGAACGTGAAAAATACAAAGGGAAGTATTACTCTGTTAGGAATTTATTGTAGACCACCGGACAGTGGAAAAGAGATATGTAAAGAAATCTGGAAGGTGCAGAAATAACAGCCTCGTAATAATCGAGGACTTCAGTTACTAGCTTGGGACAAAGACAAAAAAAATGCAGAAACTCAGAGCGATGTGCATATTTTTCTCGATCCCTCTAATCTCTCACACTACCGTCCCATTTTCAACCTACCCTTTGGTAACGTTTTTCTGCAGTGGCAGGATAATCCAGTGAGGAAGGAGGCAGTTTTTGTGATCTTGTTCTGGGAAATGAAATGGGGGAAGTGAGGAATGTGAGAGTGTGAAGCATCCAGCAAACCGCGACCACATTATTAGTCTTAATGTAAATATTGAAATTCTGAGGAAAAAGCAGAGGTATCCAACTGGAAAAGGGCAACTTTCAAAGAGTTGAGAAAATAGACAGTCACACCAGTTTACAGTATGTCCTGTAAAGCGCTTTGAAAAGTCTCGATGATGTGATGTCAGGAAACAGTGGACCTCTGCCCTATGTAATAACTCATGAAGAACTTGCCTTGATGTGCAGAGTTGAGTTAGAAGCTATCCCTTCCATACTGTAAGGTAAATGTGAATGCTGGGTAAGCATATAACTGTTGTTCTGCTGAACTTACCTTACTCTTTGAGCCAGGAAATGCTAATCAGGATAGCCCTGACTGGGAATATGGTACTTGCAGTGAGTTTAAATCAGAGCAGAATAAAATGGAAGGACAGTTGAGTAGTTTCCTAAAGCAATTATAGACGTGCTGTAGTAGCCTTGAGTGCAGAGAAAACTGGAGACTTTATCATTGGATGCAATTAGCACTATGCATTTCCCCATGGGGAAATGGCAGATAATATTTGGCAGATAGCGCCAAATAAACTCCCTCGTAAAGCAATCAGGTCAACACATGCTGAGTGTTGAACCGCTGTTGATCTGTTGAGCTTGCTACTTGAAGCAAACACTCTTGACTTCAACAACAACAACTTGGATTTATATAGCACCCTCCACGCCGGACGGCATCTCAGAGTAACGGATCCTGGGGCCGAGCCAGGGGGAGAGTGGGGGGAAGGTGACCAAAGGCGTGGTCGAAAAGATAGATCTTCAGCTGAGACCTGAAAATAGGAAGAGAGGGGGCGAGGCGAAGGGAGTGGAGGGTTGTAGAGTATAATAGGATTCTTTTTTAGAGTTTGCTTATTGATTAATTATGTTTAAACCTGAAGTATAATATATAAGCCTTGCTAACTTGACTATTGTCTTAATTGATTGAAATCTGAGCGAGTGTCACTGAGAGCTCCTAAGGTACCAATTTTGGCTCAGTGGATCTCACTGACCTCCGGAGGTAACATCTGTAACACAGCGGCCTCAAAATAGAGAGCACGTACTCTAGGAAGGTACCACTTAGTGAACAGTGATAAGGCTCTATATCAAATGTAAGGACACTAAAACCCCAGCCAACCTGAATAAATGGGGAGGGATTTGATACGCCCAGCTGGAATTTCTGACTAAGGGTAAATACAATGCAATTGTTTACTATTGTTTGAATCCATTGAGCAGAAGATAGTGAATAGGCTGTTTTCTGCTCACAGGATTCAAAGTGAATCAACATCAATATTCCCAAGCATTGAGGCCAGCAAGCACAGTGCACTGAGACTGGGCAGCAGGAGTATCCACGCAGGTGGACCTGTGGAATTTTTTTAAAAAAATTCTGTTTTGGACCCAGTTCTAGGTACGAAGAAATTAGTATGGATAATTGCATGGATTAGAAATTAGTATGGGTAGAAAGCATGGCAGATAAGGCGTTTGGTGGGAAACTTTCAAAGCTGAGATAAACAGGATACAAAATACATACAATTAAGGGGTTATTGCTCATACGAGGGTTCCTTGGATGAGTAGCCAAATGAAAATAAAAATAAGGCTTGAAGGAGGTGTAACCCTTCAGGCCTAATGGGAAACCCATCATCCTGTTTAAGCATATCCAAACCAAACAGAGTTCCATGCAACCCACCTACATATGGAAATTCCTGAGATATTTATTGTTATAGAATGCACACACTCTCCCCCAGGGGGACACATCCTGCTTATCTAATTTCAGGAAGTATTAGTTGCAGGTTGGGAAGAGCCAAGGCTTATAACTATATACATTTAGACGGAGAAGACTATACAGTCCATTGTGTCTGTACCCAATCGAAAGCAATCAATTTACCATTTTTCCCTAATATCCCTGTAGCTGACCTTATACATTTCATCTCTTATTTCTAAAACCTAAGATTCCATTAGCTTCTTTGCCTGCTTTCTCCACCTGCTTTCCCACCTTTAAAGATTTATATACAATTCCCAAGTCCCTCTGCTCTTCCACATTCCATTTTAATATTTTACCACCCAACATAAAAACAACAAGCCCCCTCCTTGCCCAAATTTCAGATCATGCCTTAAAACCTTCCTCCTCGATCATCATCATATAATGTAGAATATTAGCACATTGCATAGCACATTTTTTACCCTTATATGTTTTACTTCACAAGACAGGTAAGTAACTATGGAGTCCGATTAACAGATTAACAGACATTAGTCATTGTCATTCTGTCCCTCACTTCTGTACCGACAATTTTTGTTTCTATGTTAGAGTAATCTTTATTCTGTTTTAAAAATTACAGAGCAAGCGGGTTTTGTGGCTCCTTCTGTGTTCAGCCAAGAGAGAACAGGAGAAGAGACAGTCTTTGCAAAGTCTCAACCAGATCTGCCGAAGAGCGTCTTTAGCAAATAAAGACTGTGATTGTGCACATCCATCACATTTTCACAATCCTCAAAATTCAATTCAAGTGATTGAGCTGAAAATGAAATCCCCAAATGTCTCCCTATGGTTAAAAAATCCGAACAGTTTGCAGATTCCTATATATAGCATGTGGATGAGTCCTTCCTGCCTGTATTAGTATAAATTGCCAATTATGTAATTTACCTGACTTTCCTGTGCGCAAGTTTGATCAGGATTTTAACTTTCTTTTTCATCTATAAGATGAATTAATACCACAAACACAATTCACATTGAAACGATGGGACAGAATCCTTTTCAGATAAAACTTTGCAACAATGTTCATCCAATAAAAGTACCATATTATGGAATCTGCAATGCTTCGCTTTTTAATAAAGCTGAAGTTCTGTGGTCAGATTCTTAATTTTCATAGCATCATAGAATTATACAGCCCATCGTGTCTGTGCAGGGTCTTTTAAAAGAGCTATCCAAATCAATCCCATTCCCCCACGCTCAGGAGAGAGCCCTGCAAACGTGTCCTCCCCAAATAATTATCTACTTCATTATTAAAAGATGTTATCAAATCAGTTATCAAACTTTTCAGGCAATGTATTCCAGATCCGAACAATTCTGTGTGAAAAAAAATTTCCTCACCTCCCCTTCGTTTCTTTTAACAACTATGTTAAATCGGTGCCCTCGGGTGGGTGCACAATGAAAATAGTTTCTCTAATCTGTTGATGTTGACGTTAAAGACTCCACAGCACTATTTGAAAAAAGAAGGGAGTTTCTCTCTCCAGGTGTACTGGCCAACAATCCCCCAAAAAGATTATTTACATAGTGGCTCACAAAATAAGGAATGAATCCGTCAGAAACATGTATCCAGGAAAGACGCAGATGATACGAGTGAATTTCCTTTGTGCATAAAAAAAAGTCCTGGAACACATTGTTGCAGGTCAACTTCGGTCACACCTCTCTCTCCACTCAAGCCCCTGCAGTCTGGTTTTTGCCTTGCCCACAGCACAGAAACAATCACTTGTTAAAATCACAAACAAAGTCCTCTCTATCTATGACCAGGGCTCGCGCTGCCTCCCTTTCCTGGATCTCTCTGCCCCATTCACCACAGTTGACCATGCCATCCACCTCCATCGCCTCTCCTCCCTCATCCACCTCAGTGGAACCGCACTCGCATGGTTTTTACAAGCAATGAAGAGAAAATTAAAGCCGCAAAAAACCCCAAAATTGATATATGAAAAATGACAAACAAAACAACAACAACAAGATTCCATTTATTGAGCGCCTTTCACGTCGGGAGGACGTCCCAAGGCGTTGTAAAGTTGGGTCAGGACCCGAGCAAGGGGGAAATGGTCAGGGTGAGGGGAGGGAAGGGAGGGAGCGAGGAGGGGGTAGAGAGTCGAGAGGGGAGCTGAAGGCACGGTCAAAGAGAAAGGTCTTGAGACCGGCCTTGAAGGAGGAAAGGGAGGAGGCAAGGCGAAGGCACTGGGGGATAGAGTTCCAGAGCCTAGGGGCTGAGAGGCTGAAGGCCCGGCCACCGATGGTAGGGCGGTTGGGGCGGGGGATGTGGAGCAGACCGGAGCCAGAGGAACGGAGGGTACGGGCAGGTAGGTAGGGGGATAGTAGGTCGGAGAGGTAGGAGGGAGCAAGGCCGTGAATGGCCTTGTAGGTGAGGATGAGGATCTTGAATTCGATTCTCTGGGGGATCGGGAGCCAGTGGAGATGAGGGAGGGTGGGACTGATGTGGTCCCGAAGCCTGGTGCCTTCTGAATGTGTTCTGAGTTCTGAATGACCTGCAGCTAGTGGAGGGAGGTGCCGGAAGTCCGGCGAGGAGAGAGTTTCCGTAGTCCAGCCTTGAGGTGATAAAAGCGTGGACCACAGTTTCAGCAGCGTGAGGGGTGAGGTATTGCCGTAGTCTGTCGACGTTCCGGAGGTGATGGAAGGCGGTGCCAGTTGTGGCGCGGATATGAGGGAGAAAGGACAGCTCAGGGTCGAACAGAACCCCGAGGTTCCTGTTGGCTTTGAGAGGTGGAGAGTGCAGACTTGGATGTTGATGCTGTGAGCGCCTGAGGTGTGGAGGCGCTGACCCGAGCCAATCAGGAGGGCCTCAGTTTTGCGCACGTTGAGCTGGAGAAAGTTATCTCTCGTCCAGGACTCGATGTCGGACAGGCAGACTGTCAGGACATCGGTGGTCGTGGAGTTGAGGGTAGAGGAGGAAAGGTAGAGTTGGATGTCATCCGCATTCATGTGGAAGTTAAGCCCATTTCTGCGGATGATGTCACCACAGGGGGAGCATGTAGAGGGTGAAGAGGAGGGGACCGAGGACAGAGCCCTGAGGGACACCGCACGAGACAGTGCGGGGGCCGGAGGAAAAACCATTAGTGGAGACAAAGTGAAGACGGTGGGAGAGGTACGACCTAAACCACTCAAGGACAGGTCCTTGAAGGCTAAGGTGGGAGGACAAGCGGTGGAGGAGGATAGCGTGGTCGACCTACCGAATGTTGCCGATAGGTCGAGAAGACGAAGAGGCAGAGGGAGCCATGGTCATAGATGGTCAGGATGTCATTGGTGACCTTGACCAGGGCAGTTTCTGTGCTATGGGCAGCACGGAAACCCGACTGAAGGGGTTCGAGTAATGAATGGTTGGAGAGGAAAGAGCGCAGCTGGGAGGCGACAACTCGTTCCAGGACCTTGGACAGGAAGGGGAGGTTGGAGATGGGCCGGTAGCTTGATAGCTGCGACGCATCAAGGGAGGGTTTTTTCAAGGTGGGAGTGATGGTGGCAGTTTTTAAGGGAATGGGAACAGAGCCAGAGGAGAGGGACAGGTTGACGATGTCTGTGATATGTGGGGCAAGGAGGTGGAGCTGGGAGATAAGGAGTGGAGTGGGGATGGGGTCAAGGGAGCAGGTGGTGGGTTTCAGGGATAGGATGAGTTTGGTGACAGAGGGTGGGGAAACGGGTATGAAAGTGTGTAGGGGAGGATGGGTAGGAGTCGGAGTCTGGGTGGGAAGGGGTGGGGGGTGGGTGGATGTTGGAGGGGAAGTGACCGCGGAGCGAATTCCCTTGATTTTGGATTCAAGGAAATCCAGCATCTCCTCGCAGTGAAGGTTGGAGGAGATGACCTGCGCGGGGTGGCGGGGGGGGGGGGACGGAGGAGTTGGGATGTGGTAGAGAACAGTAGCCTGGAGTTGTCCTTCGCCTCCAGGATTATCCTGGAGTAGAAGGACGATTTGGCCGAGGCTAGAGTGGAGCGGTAGATTTTGAGGAGGTCCAACCAGATTTGTCGGTGGACCGTTAGGCCAGATTTGGCACAGGTGCGTTCAGCGGCCGCACCTGACTCTTCAAGAGCGGAGGTGGGTGGTGAACCAGGGGGAGGAGCGAGAGTAGGAGACAGTACGGGAGGTGATGGGGGCAGAGTGTCGAGTGTGGAGGAGAGGGTGTTGTAGAGAATTAAGGCAAAAAAACAAAAAACTTACATCACTACAAATCGCTCAAAAAGCATGAAATCTGATGCACAAAACAGTGAAAACACCAATAGGCGACAAATATCGGGAAGAAAATAATCAAAAAGGGCTTAAAATGATGATGGAAAAATGACGAAGAGAAAATTAAAGGCAAAAAAATCTCAAAAATATATGAATCCCAAACGTTCAAAATACATGAAATTCGCAAAAATATTGATACGCGAAAAATGACGAAGAGAAAATTAAAGCCCCCAAAAACGAAAAAATTATGTGACTCAAATGCTTAAAAAGCCTGAAAACTGATGCAAAGAACATTTAAAATGACGAACAGAAAATTTAAGCCNAAAAAACTCTAAAAATTATATCACTCCAAAACGGTCAAAAAACATGAAATCCGATACAAGAGATCAGTGGATACGAAACAATTATATCATTCCAAAACGCTCAAAAAGGATGAAAGCATCAGCATAAGACTGTGCGAAAAAATATCGAGAAGAAAATACTCCAAAAATACTTAAAATAGTACACGGAAAATAACGAACAGAAAATTAAAGTCTCAAAAACCCCCAAATTTATATCACTACAAAATTATCAAAAAACATGAGATCTGACACAAGAGATCAGTGGGTACGAGAAAATCTCCAAAACCCTCAGAAAGCCTGAAAGCATATTACTGTGAAAACACCAATACGCGAAAAAATATCGAGAAGGAAATATTCGAAAATACTTAAAATAGTAGAAGGAAAATAACGAAGAGAGAATTAAAGCCTCAAAAACGCCAAAAATTATATCACTACAAAACTATCAAAAAACATGAGTTCTGACACAAAAAAATCAGTCAGAGCACTAATATGTGAAAAATATGGACACCACCATATTCGAAAAACGCTTAAAATGATACACGGAGAGATAACTAAAGCCCCCAAAAAACCAAATTAAATCACTCCAAAACGCTCGAAAAGAATGAAATCTCAAGATATATGCGGAAGACTGTGGGAATACCAATATGAGAAAAATATCGAGCCATTAAAGCCCAAAAAAACCCAAAATTATTTCACACCGAAACGCTCAGAAATATGAAATGTGTTGTAGAAGGCATAGCAATACGAGAAAAATATCGAGAAGGAAATTTTCCAAAACGCTTGAAATCGGTCACGAAAAATGACGGACAAAAAGGCAAAAAAAACACATTAAATTATGAAAGCTCAAAAAGCATGAAATCTCAGCTATATGAATATCAAGAAGCAAATATTCGAAAAACACTTAAAATAATACACGGAAAATAACGAATAAAAAATTAAAGTCTCAAAACCCCCCAAATTATATCACTCCAAAATGCTGAAAAGGCTGAAAGCATCATCATCGTGTTCATAGAACACGCGAAAAAATACCGAGAAGAAAATATTCGAAAAACACTTAAAATACTATCGGAAAATGACGGAGTGAACATTAAAGCTGAAAACATTCCCAAAATTATTTCACACCGAAACGCTCAGAAATATGAAATGTGTTGTAGAAGGCATAGCAATACGAGAAAAATATCGAGAAGAAAATTTTTTAAAATGCTTGAAATCATTCACGAAAAATGACGGACAAAAAGGCAAAAAAACGCACTATATTATGAAACGCTCAAAAAGCATGAAATCTCATATATATGAATATCATGAAGAAAATATTCGCAAAACACTTAAAATAGTACACGGAAAAATAGTACACGGAGAGAGAGGCTGAGAGAGACACTGAGAGAGAGAGGGAGAGACTGAGAGACTGAGAAAGCGAGAGAGAGACGGAGAAAGCGAGAGAGAGAGAGAGAGAGAGAGAGGGAGACTATGAGAGAGATAGACTGAGAGAGAGAGTCTGAGAGAGAGAGAGAGAGAGGGAGAGAGAGAGAGAGA